GGCTGGCCCTGGTGGGACCCCTGCTGCCCTGCCCCACTTTAGGATTGAGTGGTCCCTTCCTCTGGAGCCCACTCTCCTCCACAGCTCCTTTGATGACTCTGAAGGAGAACAGAGTGCCCGTCTAGCCCCTCCTAGGGCTTTGTTGCTGTACAGTGGTCACATGTTTGCCCACCCTCCACAACAGTTAGGCTTGGTGGTTAGTTCTCCCTGCAGAATGCACGTTTGGGAATGGGAAAACCGGTAGTTTTCATGACCTACTGAAGATGGCAGGTGTCTGGGACCAGCAGTGGGGTCTGGCTACCACTGGACTGAAGCTGGGGGACTGCCCTGTTTGTTGAGCACCGTTTCCTCGGCATCATACCAATTTAATAACCTGTCCTGCCTTCCCTCCTCCCTTGCCCGTGTCTTCCCTTCAGCTCCAGAGAATGTTGCCGGGCCTGAGCATCACAGGTAGGGCTGGGAGATGTGGTGGTGGTGGTGGGGTTGTCTAGTGTAAGAAGTGACAAGTCTCCTAGGTAACTGGGAGGGTGCTGAGGAAGGCTGGGGGAGGCAAGGCTTGGGGTCAGGCCTGGGAGAGTTCTTGGAGGTGGTGAGGTGGCGTTAACAGCCGCGTTCACCATATCCTCTGCAGAACCTGTGCTACCCGGGCCTCCCATAGCACCCTACTCCTTACCCAAAGATGGCGGCATCAAGTGGCCACCTGCTCTCCAGCCATCTGTAGGGCTGGGGCCCCCTGTCCCAGATCCAAATCTCCTGGTCCCTCCCTCCGGAAATCCTGCTGACTTCCAGCAGCTTCTCCCTGAGGACCTGGATCCTGGACCGCTGGCTCCCAGTCAGCCCCCTACAGAACAGCTCTTGCCTGACCTGCTGATCAGCCCCCACATGCTGCCTTGTAAGGACCCTGGTGGGCTGGGCGGTTTGGTAGGGATGGGGTCGGGTTGACTCAGAAGGAGGATGATGAAGGAGAGCTTTTAGGCCAGTCCTCCTGGATCAGGGATAAACTGGGGAGGCTGGGGAGGTTGGGCCTACACTTGGCTCTCTCAAGAGCCATGGGGCTCACAGCCTGGGTGACCTGATGCTCTGTCCCACAGTGACTGACCTGGAGATCAAGTTCCAGTACCGCGGTCGGCCACCCCGTGCCCTCACCATCAGCAACCCCCAAGGCTGTAGGCTCTTCTACAGCCAGCTAGAGGCAACCCAGGAGCAAGTGGAACTCTTTGGCCCTGTGAGCCTGGAGCAAGTGCGCTTCCCTAGCCCAGAGGACATCCCTAGTGACAAGCAGCGTTTCTATACAAACCAGCTGCTAGATGTCCTGGACCGTGGGCTCATCCTCCAGCTGCAGGGCCAGGACCTGTACGCCATCCGTCTGTGCCAGTGCAAAGTGTTCTGGAGTGGGCCCTGTGCCTTAGTCCAGGACTCACGCCCCAACCCCATCCAACGAGAAGTCAAGACAAAGCTCTTTAGCCTGGAGCAGTTTCTCAATGGTGAGGTCCATTCCATGCTCCTCCTGGATGTCCCTCACTCAGGATAGGGTTCTAACCTCTAACTAGAGGCCTTAATCTTGATGCAGAACTCATCCTGTTCCAGAAGGGTCAGACCAACAACCCGCCGCCTTTTGAGATCTTCTTCTGCTTTGGTGAAGAATGGCCTGACCTCAAACCCCGAGAGAAGAAGCTCATTACTGTACAGGTGCGTCCCTGGCCAGCTCTGCGTGGGGCTGGACCCTTGACCCAGGGTAGAAACGGGACCCTCTGGACCATGAGGACTTGGTTGCTAGGGCTGGATGAGACAGTCCACCATCTGCCTCTGGATGTCTTCATGCCCAGCTAGATTGAACACTCCTGGCACAATTCTCCATGCCCTGTCTTTCCTTTGTTCCCCAGGTGGTACCCGTTGCAGCCAGGTTGTTGCTGGAGATGTTCTCCGGGGAGCTCTCCTGGTCGGCGGACAGCATCCGGCTGCAGATCTCAAACCCAGATCTCAAAGACCACATGGTGGAGCAGTTCAAAGAGCTCCATCACATCTGGCAGTCCCAGCAGCGGTTGCAGCCCATGGTCCAGGCCCCTCCTGTGGCAGGCCTTGGTGCTGGCCAAGGGCCCTGGCCCATGCATCATCCAGTTGGCATGCAGTAACAAGGCTACAGATAGCAGCTGGCCTGGGTTTCCTGGGGCAACTGTGGAGATTGACAGGGCAATGCAGTGGACCCAGCAGGCCTGGCTGGCTGCAGGGTTCTACTTCTGAGTCTGTTAAGAAAGAGTTGGGCCAAAGAGTTGGACATCAAAGAGAGGTCTCAGGTCACAGTCTCCCTAAAATTCTTCGATTTGAGCATTGTCTCCGGGAGATCTGTAATGTTTGGCTCTGAAGAAGTGTAGCCAGCAGCTCAGTGGGAGGGAAGAAGCATCACTAGCCCGGGCGGGACGTAGATGCATGGTTCCAGTTACCCCAGGGTAGCCAACTTTTATGGTTACCCCGATTCCTCTAGCAAAAAGTACCCAAGGAGTGTTCGTGGGGCTTCTGCAGAGAATAGGCCTGATTTAGGGATTCCCTAGCTTGAGCCTTTCTCATCTTCCTTCTGACAAGAACATCACTAGACACTCGGGGCTGACAGCTACCTTCCTTCAGAGTCTAAGAAGCTGGGGTACAAAGTAGAATTTAATATATTTTTGGACTAATAAATGTTAAAAGCAGATCTGCTCATTCCTTGACTGTTCCCAGGCCCAGAAACTCCTCTGTTCTACCAGACTGTTCAGTTGTTGGCCAGCCTTGCTTCAGTGGGGTGGGCTGCCTGGCAGTGGGATGGGTGGGTTGGGGAGACCCTGTCTTTCCGTCAGGAAGTCAGCTGGGCCTTCACAGACATTTACCTGGCTGATTCTGATTCAAGGAGAAAGCAGACTGAGGTAGATGTGGAATTTGAATGTGCCATCTTAAAAACTGCCCAAACCTTCCCAAAAGAGTGAAAAAAAAAATAGTTGGGTGCTACTCCCCTTCAGACTGTCAGAATCTGGGATCCTCTTCTCTTTCTGATACCAGGCTGGCCTTAAACTTGAACCCCTGACCCTCTGTCCTTACCTCTATCTCTTAAGTGCTAGAGTAATCTATGAGCTTAACAGCGGGGATGTAGCTCAGCGGTTGAGTGCTTGCTCAGCAATGCACAAGGCCATGTTTCATTCATTGTAACACACATTCAAAATAAAAAAGGCTGACTGGGCAGTGGTGGTGCACGCCTTTAATCCCAGCACTTGGGAGGCAAAGGCAGACAGATCTCTGTGAGTTCGAGGCCAGCCTGGTCTACAAGAGCTAGTTCCAGGTCAGGCTACAAAACTACAGAGAAACTCTGTCTTGAACCACTCCCCCACACACCGCAAAATAAATAAATAAATAAATAAATTTAAAAAAAAAAAGGCCTAGCTGTGTAAAAACCCTTACGGAGCCTGCACTACAGAACCATTCGCGAGCCAGGCAAGGGCCTGGAGATTTAAACACTCAAAGACACAAAGAGACACGGGTCATCCTTGAAACAGGAATGCCCCAAGAACGCTCCCCTTTATTGTGTACCAGAGCCGCTTATATATAGGGATCCTTAACTGATAGCCACGCTCCAGCCAAACCCACCAGAAACTACTCCCCTGCCATCAGGAACTCCTGAGGGTCTCGTACTCAGAGCTGCTGTAGGCTGTCTCAGAGCAGAGGAAAACAAGTTGTTTACAAGAAATTCAGGATCTGAGAGTTCACTGCTCCCAACATACCTGGGTATGGTGCTTATGCCTGTAATGTAATCCCAGTTCTGAGGAGGTGAAGACAGGAAGCTCAGTAGTTCAAAGCCAGTCTGGGACGGCGTGCCTACAAGAGTGGGATGTAAGGTAAGTCTTGTTTTCATGCATGTCTACTAATATTAGGATATTACATGCAAATTGGGGTTCATCACTGGAACCTGGCTCACAGGAACATTATCTAGCCTTTCTTTTTTCATTCCAACTCCCATTTGGTTTCCTACTGTTATTCTGAAGTAAATATGAGAAATAATAGTATAAATATCTAGTGTGTATTCCAAAAACATTTGGGGGGCACTAAGGATGTGACCTGCCACTGAGCAAGATCCCCAGCTATTAAAGAAAAACATGTGTGTCCCCCACTTCAGACATACACAATAAATAAAATTTGAAAAATAAGAAACAAGGCTGGGGATGCAAGCTCAGCTACAGGATGTGTATTTTCCATGGGAGCCTTGAGTGTCAAGAAGTCAAAGCCTTCAGACTCTATCTCAAGATGGAACCCTTCATTCCCCCACTTGCCACTGACACTTTAGTTAATTCTTTCCTACCCTTTTGGTTTTAGGACGCCATCCAAGATTCTGTATTTGGTTGTTAATTTTTTGTTGCTGTTGTTGAGACAGGCTTTCACTGTATGTCCCTGGCTGTCCTGGAACTCACTATGTAGACCAGGCTGGCCAGATCCGCCTGCCTTTGTCTGCCTCCCAAGTGCTGGGATTAAAGACGTGTGCCACCACTGCCAAGTCCTATGAGGTTTTGAGATATCAATGGTTTTAAGTAGAGGGCCACAGAAATGTCCCTCCTCTGGCCTCCATGATGTGTGGCCCCCTCCCACGCATATATATCACATACACACTAATATGTTCACCATCTTTTTAGCTATGGCATAATTTCACAGGTGTACCATGTCAAAGGTGACTGAACCTTGTTTTTAAGCTTCTGAAACACGTGTGTGCGCACATAGACACACACGGGCACACAGTTCATTCCCAGTTTATGTGCTTGTGACTATATGACATGAACACAGTTCGCTCTCACTGAGGCTGCATGAATGGTGAGAAGAAGCAGGAGAAGCAGCAGAAAGGAAGAACCAGCAGTTTCTTGAAGGGTGACTCCCAGGGTGGAACCTGCCTTTTTAAACTCTGCTCAGCCCCTTAGGCTCCACAAAGGCTGATTATACAGGTGGATGAGCCAGATTCACTTTGAAGCAGTGAGGTAGTGAATGGAAACAAAAACCAAGACCGGTAAAATTTTAAAAATTGGGTTTTTATTTTTTCTTTTTTTTTTCTATTTTTTTTTTTTTGGTGCTGTTGATTCATCTTGAGATGGTTACACCACAGGACAGAACAGTGCCCCTGTAATCTAATGGCAACACAAGACCACACTCCCTCATTAAGGTCTGTTCTGGGTTTCCCATTTCAGCCTCATGTCCCAAGAGGTCAATTAATTTTCACTTTTTAAGCAAAATACAAGTAGTCTTGTAAATACATTTTCTCTATAGCCTTTTTTGTTCTTGCCCCTCCTATGTCTGGATGAATAATTCACTAAGAAAAAGAAATATTTAACACACATTTATATCCCTTCCACCCACCTCAATTTTGGTTTTTCTCCCCAAGGTTGATGACTTAGCATGTGAACTGGAGTGGACTCAGCAACTCAACAGCAGGGTTGGGCTCTACAGGAATAGCAACTTTGGCCCTGGCTAGTTCTGACTTTCGTCCCTGATGGTGACAGAAAGCAGAACAGGCTCCTTGTCTGGAACGGCTGGGGTGTGCATGTTTAAAGGCAGGACAACAGAGGAGACATGAACGGCTCTTTAACTCCAAGTGTAGCCATGTTTCTCACTTGACTCACAGAAAGTTCTCACTGTTATGTTTCTGTGTGTGCACTGCATGCTGGTGTTGTCTATCGTGTGCGTCATCTGCTACCAGGTGAACGGTACAGTTCTGCTTTCATCCCAGCTTCCAGGGTTTCTTCTTCTTCTTCTTTTTTTAAATTTCCTTGAATTATTTTTCCTTTTAGAAAGAAGTTCACCAGGAAACTAGTTCCCCTCCCACCACGCCGGACAGGCTGCGGCCACCTTTAAAACCGTGCTGTTTCTCCCTCACACCCCAAACAGGAACTCCTCAGGATGCCTCGGGAGGTTGAAGCTTCTCCCTGTCTGGCGGCAGTGAAGGTCCCTCTGCCACAACGGAGGTTTCTGATTGTGGGACACAGTCTGGGTTGTTTTCTTCCTGTCTTCTAATAAAAAAAGACATTCCTGACAAAAGAGAAGAGACGGTTGAGAGCTGGGCTCTAGAGGACAGGGAGCAGGATGAAAGCCGCCTTCAGGCAGCACGATGCGTGTGTTCAGGCACTCACTGGGCTCTGTTACAGGGCTCAGGTTAACACGCATGCAAAACCAAAGTTTGGCTTTTCTCAACTTGCAATTAATTTCACGGCAACATCAACTTCCCTAAACCACTGCCTGCAGCATGTCTCCAGTGCTGAGCTGCAGACACTAAGGATGATGTAAAGGTTGGGAGGAAGCCAACAGAACTGAGCCTTCCATGGTAAACCACCAGAAAAGCTCCATTTTAGTCTGTTAAATATTGGGTTTTCATGCAAGATTTAGTTTGGAAAGAGGGCTTTGTTTACTAACAATGATTTAAACTCTATGGCAATACTGTTGAACAGATGTGCCATCTATTATAATGGCTAAAGCGAGGGCTCTGGTACCAGAATCCTGCTCCTGAACTCTGCCTCCCCTGGCTTCTAACTGTAACATTTAGCAAATTGTTAAACATATTTGACTTTCAATTTTCTTCTTTGTAAAATGAGTACAGTAGTAGAAACCCATAGGAAGATTCTTTTGGCTAATATATTCAACACACAGGAATGGTACCTGACACTTAGTAAAGGCTTGAGAAAGATAAGCAGAGAACATCTACAGCTGTCTACAAGCAACCTCTTGAGGTCTATCAATGCATTGACAACCTCAGATTACTTACTAAAGAACCAACCTTTAGAAAAAGTTTTGGTGTGGTAAGATACTACCGAACATCACCTTGACCTAATAATGCATTCACTACAGAAACAAGTAAGTGCAGGATTCAGAATATTGCCTATGGGTGGGACAATAAATCTTCCTTATGATGTCAAAGTGCAGGCTTACAGAATTGCCTTTCTTAGGCAATAAATTGCTAAGTAAATTTTACCACCTACTCATTCCTTTCCTTAGCCGAGCTTCTCACACACAGAGAAAGTTGACCATCAGGAGACATCTCGAGAAACTGCTGCTTTCCTACAGCTCCTTGGCATAGTTCAATCATAGAAACAATAAGAATAAGCTGCTCACACATTAATCCTGGCAAGCCTGCCTTAGAAGACCGGTGCCAGGAATTACAGTCACCACTGTTCTCAGCAAAGGTTAAAAAGTACCAATTTGATTGTTACCACACACTTATTAGGCTAGAAATAGCTATTAGGGAAAAATGTTTTCAGGTGCATCCTGCAACAGTTCCCCTCTATGGAATGGAAAATGGCATCCAGATACATGGTTAATCTGCCTGCTCTGGTCCAAGACAATCAAGGTCCTGAAAAGTCCCAGGCACTGTGATAACTGCACACTAAGTTCTTTCTTGATTTCAGCAATGAGCCTTAAATATAACCCCATTCTCAAGCCTCCCCACCAGTCCAGAAAGAACCCAAAGCATATACAACTCACCTGGACGACAGGCACAGTGCAGGAATGTGAGCTTGAGCTACCGAAACAACCTGGTGAAGTCTCGCAAGGCCCAGCAAACTTGCTTACATTCCTCGGCACTAGAAGAGAAAGGGTGGGTGGGTGGCGCTTGACTGCAGACAAGAGAGCCAACAGGCTGGGGAGTAGTGCAATGCCAAGGTTCCATCAGCTCATGACTGAGATCTTCCCAGAACTCAGGTAAAAATGAACTTCCATAAATGAAGATAATTATAAGCTTGGTGGTTCTCAAGGAATGACCTTTGGAGACAAACTGTTGAGGGCTGATTCCTGGCCCTTGTGTTCATGGACAAGACGCCCATCTTTCCTCAGTTTCCGCATCCATCACTTACTTCATGTTGCTCGGGGACTCAAATTCATTCATATAAATGAGACATTCATGACAAAAGAGCAGTGAGCAAAACCAACTCAATAAATGTGAATACTTGAAGTTCCTGACACAAGGAACCCAGAAGCCCTCAAAGGAAGATAGCCAGCAGGTTCCCTGTTCTCATTCAAAGACAGATGCTGTTTACAAGGCTCGTCCAGTAACTAGGACTATCAGCCACTGATTCTCTAGTGAACAGGATGCTCAGGATCTCCTCATGGAAGGAGGGGGAGAAAGAAAAGGGTTAACACATGCAGAAAAGGAGAACAGGACTTGGTTCTTGGCAAATGCTGAGATGACCCAGTATTATAATATATAAGCCCAATATTCACCTGACTCTTCTTTGTCTTACACCCATCCAGAAATCAGCTGAGGCAAATCTCATTCTTCTAGCTATCTCCCCAACAGCTTTGCTAACTGAACCTGGGGCTAAGCCAAAGCAAGAGAAAGGAAGCACTTCCTAACACATCCTCCTGAAACCTTCTCCTGACTAAGAAACTCAGGCACAGGGATATAGCCTAGAATTCAAGAAGACTTGCCATCCTGTGCTAGTTAAATACCAGAGGAAGTAACCGGTAAAAGCTAGCAACAGAAAAGGTATCAAATGCCTATCTACAGATTCCCTCACCAAGTAGAAAGGTCCAAAATTGGTGTTTTACAACAGAGTGGCGTCCAACGTAGTAATGAACTCCACATAAAACCTGAGAGGGCTTGAAAAGGAATTCTAGACACACACACACACACACACACACACACACACACACCCAGAGTTTAACACAGCTTTTTGCTGTTTTCTAGGGTGTGCTGCAAAGAGTTCCTGACTATGATAGACCACGCCCTACTGAAAGATCACCATGAACACCTTCAGAAAATTACTTCACTCAACTGCCGACTGAGATGAACCTAGCATACAGGATACACCACAAAAGACCTGATTAACAGTGCCCCCACACAGCACTGGAGAGAAAAAAACTACGTCCATATTCCCAAATTTTGGAGAGAAAAAACTACGTCCATATTCCCAAATCTTGTTTATAAGTGTTCTTTTACATTTAAAGGGGGATATGATATAGATATGGATAATTTGCATTAGTATGGATTTTGCTTTAGTGATTTAAATTTAAGGTCAATTTTGTTATGTGTAAAGGTATTTCTGATCTTGATTAAGATATTGTGATTGTGTAGTTCATTAAAAATGTAATGTATAATTAGGAAATATAGGTTGTTAATGGATAATCATCAATAATAGTCAAGCTTGTAGTCATGTTAGTTAGATTTTCTTAGATATATATCAGTTAGACAGGCATTCTTCATATCTTTCAAAGACTACAGAATATGGCATTTAATGTTTTAATAACTCAGGGTTTTTCATGACAATGAGACACGTCTGCTCCTGGCAGCACCAATCTACTTCAAGAGGAAGATGGGCATCAAAGAGGCTCCTTATGGAGTTGGTTAGCCATTTGGTCAAGAAACTGCTCTTTTCTGGATTGATGTGTAAACTGGACATGAAGAACTCACAGAGAGAGGACTGCTGAACTTGCTTAAAGGTGAGATGGTCTTTCGGGGTTCCTGATTCATGAAAGAGTCTGTGAGAAATTCTGCAGGACACAGCAGAAAGTGACTGAACTGCCTTTGAAATTTCCTGCTTTATGGAAATGTCTGCTGGATACCATGGGCCTGAAGGCCGAAGATGGATGCCCCAACGATACAGAAGAACTTTGGGTGACTGTCCAGACAGCGAGATGTCTTCGTCATTTCTAGAGTTTCGGAAGTTGCTTATTTCTGGTTTACTTAGGTAATATTATATCCTTCTGGAATCTTTGATTTAGTTGAAGAATAAATAGTTTTCCTTAATTATGATAAAAGATAAAATATATATAAATAAATATTGTAACTGTAATTCTTGCTTGATAACTGTTTTGTTATATGTAATTTTACTATGTTAAAGTGGAAGCCTTTCTTTTTTGTTTAAACAGAAAGGGGAATTGGTGTAGGAGGTCCTTCTATATTTGTGTTGATTTCATTGGCTCAGATTCCAGGAGATGACAGAGTATTTCAGAATTTTTTTTTCTAGTTTTTCTCCGCCACAGGCAACAATACTCTCTATCTAGCATAGTGGGAAATTGAACCCAGGGTCTTGTGCATGCTATGCAAGCAACCTACCACTAAACTATACCTATATTCCTAACACTTCTACTGATTTAACAAGCTTTACTAACAAAATTATATTTTTTGGTCTATTTAAAAATCAACTGTAGGGATAAGTACTGCCCCTTAGGGGGCGTGTTTGCCTCGGGCTAATGTTGGCCTATAAATTTGGCAAGCATGCTCCCAGCCGTCCCTTTCTGCTTTCCTGGTCTCCGCGGGAAAGGTGGTTCTGTAAGTCTATTTCGCCATTAAAGCTATAGATATATATATTTTTACAATCTGTCTGCATTCGTTTACGCCGTTACATTTTGGCGCCCAACGTGGGGCTCGAACCCACGACCCTGAGATTAAGAGTCTCATGCTTTACCGACTGAGTAATTCCGAGTGCTGGGATTAAAGGCACTGCGTCTCCACCACCTGGTGATTCTTATGCTATTTTGGAGAAGAGTATGTCTGTTTTCTGCCCTTGTCCAAAAAAGTCTGACTGAGGCTAAATTGAGGAGGTTTAGATTATTAGCATTACCAGAGGTTTCAAGACAGCCCACTACCGACTCTGCTCTGCGGTTACTAGTGGTCACTCTATAATGAAAAGGATCAAGCCGAGCAAGGAAAAACACAAAATGTATAATTTGAGGAGAAAAGGAACACCAGAAAATGTAATGGAATAATGGAGCTTAATCCTGTGCTCAAGGAGATAAAAAGTTAAAGAAAGGCCTGATGCTAAAAGTAATAAAGGGAATGGTGACCCTAGGGCAAGATCCCACCTAACCTAACTAAGCTTCCAACTTGGGAAAAGGACTTAAAGAAAAGCTTAAGCAGGGAAGGGAACCATCAACAGAAAGTTGATACAAACGTATTTGAATTAGGGAGCCAAGTTCCAGCTGTGTGGTTCTAGCTTTCAAGTTAAGGATATAAGAAAGGGGTTGTGGAATCTCCCTTCTTGGTTAAATAAGGGTCAGTTGTGTGCCAGGGGTATCTCTGCATGGAGGCCCAACAATACCATTGCAAGAAGTTGTAAAGGTGAAGCCTGGATTGTGTTGGAGACCCCAAGATGCTGGAGATGCCAGAGCAGTGATACCACTGAGGAAAGCCCCCAACAGGGTGAGGAACCGGCCCAAGAGAGAAGTGCGTTGCAGTCAACAAGCTGAAAGGAGTGGAGATCTGAAGAGCGATTTGATATGAAACACGGGGAAAGAGAATTTGGAATTTGCTCAGCTGCTTTTGGTCTCAATTTGGTCCAGCATTTCCTCACTATACTCCCTTTCCTCCTCTATGAAATAGTAATGTATACTCTGTGCCACTGAATGTTGGAAATAGGTGATCTCGTTTTTATTTTGATTTTACAGAGGGTTACAGTTAAGAGACTGTTATGAGTCTCAGAAAAACCTTGGTCTTGAGACTGTGAAAGACTATGAGGACTTCTGAAATTGAACTGAATGCGTTTTTACATTAGGATATTGCTACAGGCCCATGGGGACCCAAAATGATAATGGACCAACCCTCGGAAACCCACAATTAAATGTTTTCCTTTATATGAATTGCCTTGGTCATGGTGTCTCTTCACAGGAATAGAACAGTGACTGAGACAGTAAGGATGGACGTAAGTCTCCAATCAGTTCCACTTCTGCGCCCAATTCTATCAATGACTGTCCTAGGTGGCAAGAGCTCCAGCTAATTTTGAACTTAAATGACCTTGGTGGGTAAGCCCACAAGAAAGGATCAAAAAGCTCAATGAAAAGATAAAAACAAAAATACCCCCTATACACAAAGAAAATGCGAAAACAAAATTTTAAAAAGCCCTTAAATGTCAATACTATTTTCTTACTGTGGTTCTTATGGCACTGACTAGTTTCTGGTCTCAGATTTTATTTTCCAACCCCTATTACTATCTTCTATATTCTAGTCCCATAATTCCAAGTCTTTCCCCAAATATGCTTGTGGCCACTATTTCTCAACCCTCATAATCCTAGGCAGGTGCTAGGAAATTTTATCTGGTGTCTTGGTAGGCAATGACAACCTGACCAGTGAAGCACCCCATCTGGTCTCTAATTCCAGTGTCAACACTTCCTATGTTCAGCACCTTTTAGCTTTAAGAGTGTCATGCATGGTATGATGTCATGTTAGGCATGGACAAGTAGGAAATAATGGCAGGATTTCTTTTAGTCTCAATCAATTTGAACTGATGATGGCTTATCATGTTTTTTCTTTTTTCTTCAGAAAAAAAAATGTATTCTAAGATGATAAAGCTCAGCTTTCTTCAACTTGACCAAGTAAGAAAGCTGGAGAATTCATTACCAGCACCATTTGCAAAGCAGGCCAGGACTTGCTACAATGAAGTTGAACCAGTTCACCCTCCCTGCTAGGAGGGCAAACAAAACAGCTTGCTGAGGCAAGAGTTAGAGAACCTTAAAACCAAAAGGGAGACTGAGTCATGCACAGGTTCAAGGACAACACACACTAGAGAATTACTAAGAGAAGGTGAGCAATCTCAAACCCCTTTTTAGCTCAAGACCACACGCACGCACGCACGCACGCACGCGCACACACACACACACACACCTGCCCCAGCCTTCTCTGGGAGCTGCAGAACTTGTTCAGCAATAAAGGTCAAGGCTACTTGGTTCAGTTGCCTTCTCACTGAGCAAGGACCAAGGATACGGTTACTCACAATACTGCTTTACTTAGATCCTTTTCTCTAGTTCTTTCACGAACTAGAATGCTGTCTGTGACTTGATTTTAGACTTACTCATTATTCTATCCATCATATATTAGCCCCATGAAAAAAGCATATGGGCCTGTGGAGACATATTCCAGAATGTGTGGGTGGCTGCTGTAAAGCAGGCAGGAGACATGCCCCAGCTAGTTTTGCAAATAGGCAATGACAGTCTGGCAGTTTCTTTTCCAAACAAAAAGAAGTTAAACTTTACGGATCGTCTATTTTGTGTGGGAGCTTCGGGGTTCCATTTGGCATCTCTTAATGACCTTACAGGGTAGAACTAACCTTATTTAAAGACGAATTAACCGAAATGAAAATAACAGCATAATGCCAACAGTCTCTGGAGGATTTCCCCTAGGCTTCCATTTGCTTCAAGGAAATTAGAGCCAACAAATCATGGTTTCTGGTGACCAGCAAGATGAACAGACAAACAGAAGCAGGGAGAAACAACTTTCTCCAGAGACCACAGTCATGTGAAATACCACCCGCACTATAAAGTCACAATGAAAGGAAATCAAATCATTTCATAAGGTCACCCAGTCTATATATGCTTACCTGGTACAGGGGAATCCCTACTTTGGAGAAATGTATCACAAAGGCTAGTTACTGTGCTAATTTTCAGCCATGCATATCAGCTGATACAAAATTAAAATATCAGTTCTAGGACATGACCTTTAGATACTTAGTAAGCTACAAAATAAACAGTTCTCCCCACCAACCTCCAACATTTAACTAAGACATTATAGTACAGGGTGACCTGAAACTATATAGCTCAGGTTGGCTTTGTACTTAAAATGGATGAGCCTCTTGCCTCAACGCCCTCACCCCCTTTTAAGACAGTTTCCTGTAGGTTAGATTGGCCCTGTACTCCCTATGTGGCTGGGGATTTATTTTAAATTTAAATTTATCACCTTTGCACTACCACCTTCCCAGTGCTAGCCACCACACCCAGCTCTGAGACTTAATATTGTTGTCTTATCAGCAACAGCCAAAGAAGTCTACTGATTCAGTACAATAACTACAAAACTGCAACAGTATTACAGAAACAAAGATTTCTACAACTCACATGGTATCTCAAGTACTCCAAATGCCCAAAACAGTCTTGAAAAGGGGCAGCAAAATTGGAGGTCTCATAATCCCTGATTTCAAAATTCATGATATTGTCAAAGTAATCAAAACAGCATGACACCGGCAGCGAGACAGACAGCCTAGAAGCAAATCCTCACGTATATGGTCAAGTATTTCTTGACAAAGGAGGTAAGACCATTAAAAGATAAAGAATGGTCATTTGAATAAATGTTGTTACGAAAACTGAATAGTTACTAGCAAAACAAAGAAATGCCCTAACATATGAAATAAATAAGCTAAATGAAGGAAAGAGGGAGGGAGAGGGGGGAGGGACAGAAGGAAGACAGATCAAGTATTATAATTCTTCACAGAAAACCTAGGGGAATTTTTATGATGTTGGATCTGACAATTCTTGGCTAGGATAAGAACACAACAAACAAAAATAAAAATGAATAAATTGAACTACAGTAATAGTAAAACCTTTAAGAAACTGGCAAAATATCTCAACAACAGAATGCTTGTAAGGTGCTCTATCCTTAGCACTGCAAAAATAAAAAATAAGCATGTTCTAACCGAACATCAAAGGATACAACCAACAGAGCTAAAAAGCAGCCACAAGATGGGAGAAAAAAAACCCTACAAATCATGTATCTAGTAGGGAATTAACAGGCCCAACACACAAGCAACTCTACAACCCAACAAGAGCTTGGAAGGCGCCTCACACAATAATCCTAGCACCAGAGAGGCCAAGGTGGGAAGCTCACCAAGGGCAGTAAGCTCCACTCAGCCTGTGCTATACAGTAGGGCCTTGTCTCAAGAAAAAACCAAAACAAAACAACAAAACCAACCAACCAACCAAACAAACAAACAAAAACCCCAAAACACAGAAAGGTCGTTTAGATACAAATATCCAAAAAGGATACTAGGCTTAAATTGCTAAAGTAGCTACTAGTAAGAGCTGGAAAACACTGAGAAAAAGACCATAAACAAACAAATAAATAAACAAAAAATAAAGAGTCCACAATAAAACATTTTGCCAGGTGGTGGTGGTACATGTCTTTAGTCCCAGTACTCTGGAGGCAAAGGCAGGCAGATTTCTTAAGTTCCAGACCAGCCTAGGCTACAGAGTGAGTTCCAGGATAGCCAGGGCTACAAAGAGTAACCCCGTCTCAAAAAACAAAACCAAAAATCCCCCAAACCAACCCAACAAAATAGCCTGGAGGAGTAGAGGGACAGAAAACTGTAATTAGGACATTTTACTATGTGATGGGGGAAAATCTATTTTCAATAAAAGAAAAAAATACTTGGGGAGGGGGGAAAGCCAGTGTTATTCAGAACAAGCACTGTATCAGTCTATAAAAAAAAATAAAAAAAACCTTGAAGTCCACTAGCACTTCCCATATCAAAAAGGTTGATAAGGATGTGGAGAAATTAAAACGCTGTACACACCTAGAGGAAATATAAGAAATGAAGGTACTCTGGAAAATAATGTGGCTGTTCAAAAAAATTCTTTTTCCTTTCTTTTTTTCCCCAAGTACAATAGTTTCCAGTCTAGCATAAACGCAAAAGGAATGAAAGCAGGGTCTCAAAGAGTATTTGAATATCCATTTTTCTCTTGTTTTTTCGAGTGAGGGATCACTATGTAGCCCTGGCTAGCCTGGAACTTGCTAAGTAGACCAGGCTCACAGAGATCTTCCTGTTTCTGGCTTGTGGATACTGAGATTAAAGGTTTGTATCACCATATTGAGCTCACACATCCATGTTTTAGGAGCTATGTGTAATAATGGTATCCATGTTTATGGTAATGTTATTTATACCAGCATGACTCACAGTAGACAAGAATAGAAGCAACCTTAAATGTACACAAACAGAAAAATAAATAAAACAGGGCATATACATGGCTAATGCTGACTGTCAACTTGACAGATTCTGGAATCACCTGAGACAAATCTCTGGGCATGTGTGTAAAGGAGTTTCTAAACTGCGTTAACTAAGGAGGGAAAACCTACTCTAAATAAATGTAGCTGAATTCAAGAGAAATCCAGCTAACTACTAGTGTTCATCTCTTCCTGCTTCCTGACTACAGATGAGATGTGCCTCCTGAGCTCCTACACCTTAACTCCCCTTCCAGACCCTCCAGAACTAGAATCTGAACCTGCCAGACTCTCAGTACACATGTATCTTCTCCTGGTACCACTCTGTCTGCCTCGGCTTCCTGGCTACCGTAAGATGAGCAGCTTTGTTCTATGTCCTTCCAACATGACGTTCCTTTCTCATTATGGCCAAAAATTTTTAAAAGTAAAAGCAAGTGTCACCATGTCTGAACTGTACGATTTCTCATCTATCACATGTACTTCTTATAGTGGCTATTTACTAGTGCAGACATATAATGAATTATTTAACCATTCTCTATTGATAGATAATTTTATTTCCAGGTTGTTTTTTTCTTCTGACATTATCACCCTGGCTACAGCACTCATTCTTTGGCTTACACATCATCCCACAAGTGTATGAATAAAAGCCTGTACTTAAGATTTAGCCAAATTTTAAAAGATCTACCTATCAGTTACAAAATCTGAATCGAGTAACTGCCATGAATACTATGTAGAGACCACAATGTCTCACACAGACTTTAATTCAAGGTTACATTTAGAAAACAACACTGTATTTTTATTTTTGAGGTTTTAATACTGAAAAACTGAAAACCCATTTCCTAATAGGAGCAACAAAAGGTATGAGCACTTTAATGACTGTAAGACAGTAACTAGGAGACAGTCACATCACATTTAAATTAAGATAGAATGCACTGTAAATGACTCATGAGCCTAAACATCTCAGAAATGTTTTATTTGCACAGTATTAAAACTTTAAAATTTCAAAAGAATCTGAGTGTTTTTAGGTTTGGGCACTGTGGCAGTTTGAATGTAATCAGCCCCCATAAACTCAGGGAGTGACACTATTAGAAGGTGTGGCTTTGTTGGAGTGGGTGTGACCTTGACTAGAAATTCTGTCTCTGTGGAGGTGAGCTTTGAGGTCTTACATGCCCAAGCCATTGGGCTCAGTGTCTCACTCTATTTCCTGTTGCCTTCTGATCAAGATGAAGCCAGCACCATGTCTGCGTGCATGCTTCCGTGCTCCCCTCCATGATGATAACATGAAGTGTAAGCAAGCCAGCCCTAATTAAATGCTTTCCCTTTCTAAGAGTTGCTGTGACCATGGTGTCTTTACAGCACTAGAAACCCTAACTAAACAGGCACTCTAGCTGATTAACTGAAGGCCACATCACTCGTAAGCCATCATGAAGTTGCCACCCGCTGACTTTTTATGCCGTTTCATAAAAGCAAGTCTAAGCAGTTATTTCTGTCTTCCTTTCACAAGGCCCTGGCACCACTCACCTAGTGACTTGCTTGTGGAAATCTGTGAGTTGTTTATGTGTCACTGTGACAGCTCCCACAGTTGTCTCCTTTGGCAAACCTTTCAAGGAATTCTCTAGCCACCGACAGAAGGTCTGTATAGAGAAATTAGACACGAGTTTTAAAAGGAATAAGATCTGGCACCTACAGAATCGGGCCAAATAAGATTAACAAAATACTATACTATCCTAGGCCTTCAAATGTTCTGGTTGAACAAAACGAAAGCATCTCTCCAGTCCACACTGTGTGGCTTACATAGCCAGGTATGAAGACACAGCCTTTAACCCAAGCATTTGGGAGACGGATGCAGGAGGACTGAGAATTTCTGGCCAGTCTGGAATACATAGGGAATTCCAGACTAGCTGAGGCTATATAGTCAGATCCTGTCTTAAGAAAAATAATAAACAAATCAAACATCAACAAGACACAGACACACACCCTCTCTGTACACACTCACACTGTCTCTTTTTGCTTTGTTTCTGTAATATGAACTAAACACAAACCCTCAGCTAACCTAAAATTCACTATGTAACTAGGCTTGCATCAAACCTGTGGTCCTCCTGCCTCTAGCTCCCAAGTACTTAGATCAGCTGGGATCAGTGTGTGTCATTATGTACCTGTGTGTGTGTGTGTTTTTTTTTTAAGATTTATTTATTATGTATACAACTTTCTGCCTCCACACGCCAGAGGAGGGCGCCAGATCTCTTTACAGATGGTTTGGAGCTACCATGTGGTTGCTGGGAATTGAACTCAGGAGCTCTGGAAGAGCAGACAGTGCTCTTAACCACTGAGCCATCTCTCCAGACCCTGTACCTGTGTTTTTAAAGCAATAAAGCAGATAGAAAAATAAGGAACTCAGAATTAACTAAATGAGAATTTTCTCCTTTACAAGTTTTCAAAATAGTACCATGGCCTAAATGAACCTCCTACTCAGGTATCTATATAAAATTTTTACTATAATTATGAATTGTGATACTTAATTAGGAACATGCTAAAATTGCAGTTAACTAAACCTGAGTTGCTTAAACCATATACTTTAAAGGTTCCTTTAAACACTTATTAAACTGGTAGTGATCAAAACACTTCTTCTTTAACACACATGCACACACACATACCCGCACATGCATGCACACACACACACACCTGCACATGCACACACACACATGCACACACATACCCGCACATGCACACACACACACCCGCACATGCACACACACACACCCGCACATGCACACCCACACACCCACACACCCCCGCACATGCACACACACAAATGCATGCATCCTTTTTATACTTGTACTGCTATTTCTTGGGGAAAGAGTCAGGGATATATGATTCCTGGGTCAGGTGATATAGAAACCATATCAGAAAGCATCGAGAATCAAGATTTTAAAGTCATCCTGCCCAGGGACTGTATTAATTTAGTTTCCTTGTAATATCTACCTATGAACTGAATAAATAACTGAACCTATAGTACAATTATGCATTTTTATTACTTATTTATTGGTTCTGGAAGATAGTTCATTTTAGGCCCTACTGTGTATTTTCATAAACGGCTTATAAATTAACATTAAAAATTAGAAATCATATTTTTCAAAATAATTTATAGGGTATTATACTGTGTCACTATGCTCAAAGCTCTGACATGATAGCTGGAGATATGACTCTGATTAAGAATTTCCTTCTCTTGCAGAGGACTATGGTTTGGCTCCCAGCACTCAAGTGACAGCTCACAACTGTCTATTCCTCTAGTTCCAAGGGAAGCAATGCCCTCTTCTGGCCCCTGCAGGTACTAGGCACATGTGCTGTAAACATATATGCAGGCATTCATACACACATAAAATAAAAAAAATCTCATATTTTTATATAGTAGGCATAGTATCATTTATGATTACATAGCTAGTACTGAAACTACTTGAGGAAGCGAGGGTCATTTGACTGCAGTATCTGTCACCCACTGAGCATGAGGGTTGAAATAACCTGTGCATTATTACATACCCTTATAAAATGTCCAAGGCTGGGGTACAGACAAGTAGTATACCACATCCTTAGCATGTATGAGCAGTCCCGCCACTCCACGTTGAATGGAAAAAAGGACCCAGTCAAATCTAGGTGTGTATACTATGGTTTACTTCTAATACTTGTATCCCTACAGAAACTCTGGTTAATGAAGCACCAAGGATCAATGTCATCCAGGATAGAGTCCAGAGTGATTGTACATTTCTTGAATAATCTGCATCTGGGTATAACTAATATATAACTATCTCTTCCAGGCAGTGTTGATGGACACATGCCTTTAATTCCAGCACTCAGAAGGTAGAGACAGGTGGATCTCTGTGAGTTCAAGGCCAGCCTGGTCTACAGAGTTCCAGGACAGGCTCCAAAGCTACAGAGAAACCCTGTCTCAAACAACCCCCCCCCCCAAAAAAAAGTATCTCTCACAAATGAATAGATTTCCCATGGACTAGACACAAGCGAATCCAAAGCTTAGTACACACTTCTGGTGATATTACAAACCTCAAGAATCCAATAAGGAGTTACTAGCTTTCAATGGGCCCTTTCACTTACAAATGAAGCTTAGTGATGTGTCTAAATTTGGTTTCAAGGACATATACAATAGAGCTGGTTCAAACTTAGGGCCAGTTTCAAGGAACCAAAGCTTATTAGGTTTGGGAACTGAGAGAACAGGCACCTTATGAAAGACACTTACCGGTCTGTCAACCTGCATGATCTCCCAGAGCACCTCAGCCACATCTGGTAAGGTGTAAGGTGGCAGACAGAAGCAGCATGTGTGGAGCAGCTGGCTTACAAGCTGCTGTCCAAGCTGGTTCATCACCTGTCCAATCAGTTCCTTACGCAATTCAAAATCCTCTTCATGCTGTAAGACAACGGGAGCATACACTAGGAACCAGGGTTGTGCAGTATGCAGCACTTAGCACAGATGGCTGACATCCAGAGGTTAGTAACTTGGTCAGTGACTGATCCCCTATGTATGGTACAGGTCAACTAAAACAAACCAAGTACACAAAAGAGACAGAAAAAAGCCATACACACACACACAAAAAGGCATGTTTATACTCACATCATTTGCTACTCCTGTGTGGATGAGGTCTCGTAGGAACCTCATGACACTGCAGTTGGCATCTCGGTGGTCCAAGGTGGTAGACGCAATGGCCCACTGTAAGATGGGGATGACTACTTGGCTTCTCAGTAAGGTGACAGGGCTACGCTGAATAAATCTGGTATGTGAGGAGAAGTTAGGTATTAATAACAAGATTAGGCTACAAAAGCTGCAAAGATAAAGGATAAAAACCATGGAAACAGTAAAAGCCACTGGTGCTGGGAACTCTAGGGAAGGAGGGTTAAAATAGAGCACAGAAGACTTCTAGTAAGATTACAGCGGTAACCACTCCTTAGACCCTTCTCAGAACCCAGAGTGCAAAAATATCAGAAGTGAATCCTAATGTCCACTCTAGAGTCTGTGTTTCAAAAACAAGTGTAGGAGAATGGATTTTAGTAAATGGATCATTCTGGAGGAGAATGTTGATAAATGGGGAGTTGTGTATGCCATGTGCGTGTGGGGACAAAAAAGGCACAGGGAAACCATACTTTTCACTAAATTTTGCTGGGAACTTGAAGTCATTCTTTCCTTTTTTTTTTTTTTAAAAGAACCTTGGAGGCCTTCTGCGGATATGGGCACTGCCCAGCGTGAGAACACACTGGATGCCACCGAACGGTGAACCCATTCCAAGGAGCCCTGCCCTTGAAGTTATTCTTTAAAAACTCTTCATACATACATACATTACATACATACATATGTATATAAATAAAAGGGGGAGACCAGTGAACCTGCTATTCTCAATTTCAACTCAATGAGATCTGGAATTACCCGGGAGACAGGCCTCTGGGAATGCCTGTGGGGGTTATCCTGATAAGCGTAACTGAGATGGGAAGGACACTTGTTTTGGGCGGTCCCATTCTTTTTTTTTAAATATTTATTCATTATACACACACACACACACACACACACACACACACACACACACACACACACATAATATTCTGTGTTCATGTATGCCTGCAGGCCAGAAGAGAGCACCAGACATCATTACAGATGGTTGTGAGCCACCATGTGGTTGCTGGGAATTGAACTCAGGACCTCTGGAAGAGCAGGCAATGCTCTTAACTGCTGAGCCACCTCTCTAGCCCTTGGGCAGTCCCATTCTTTGGGTTGGGATCTTAAGCTGCATAAAAAGGAGAAAGTCAGCCTAGCACAGCTGCTTCAAGCTCCTACTGCTGTAACTTCCCCACTGTGACAGACTAAAGCGTTAGATTGTAATCAAAAGAAAACCCTTTCTTCCTTAAGCTGCCCGACAGGGTATTTAATCATAGAAAGAGGAAAATTAATTAGTAGTCAGACGAAGTTGGACATGGTGGTGCACATCTTTAATTCCGGCAGGCAGATTTCTGCCAGGCTAGTCTACATAGTGAGCTTTCAGGACAGTCAGAGACATGAAGGGAGACTCTGTCTATAAAATAAACAAACAAAAACTAGGAATCACTGGTTCTATCTTAAGGATGTTCAGTTTCTTCAAGAAGTAGAGTGAAGCAGGAAACAATGAGAGCAGCATGAGACAGTAACACCACTGGGGATTGCCTGTGTGTGCTGGCACAAGCTAGAGCCTTCTGAGTAGAGGGAGTCTCAGCTGAGAAAATGTCTCCAAAAGATCAGGCTCTAGGCAAGCCGGTAAAGCATTTTCTTAATTAATGATTGATGTGGGAGGGCCCAGCCTATTGAGGGTGGGTTCAACCCTTGCCTAACAGTCTTGGGTTCTATAGGAAAGAAAGCAGGCTGAGCAAGCCTAGTAAGCACCCTCCATGGCCTCTACATCAGCTCCTGCCTCCAGATTCCTGCCCTCACTGCTTTGATAACAACTGTTATATGGAACTGTGAATGAAATAAACCTTTTTCTCCCAAAGTTGCTTTTGGTCAGTGTTTCATCACAGCAATAGTAACCACGAAGACACTGGGTAAGCACTATTTGATTTTCATTTGATAGTGGGCACTGAGCTCGGAGTCTCCACTTAGACACATTCCTAGCCTGCCTAAGTACATTTTTATGTGGCGCATATTCCTTCCATGTTCCCACCTAATACCCCCTCACCTCTGCGTATAGGGCAGCTCACAAAAAGGCTATGAATCATTAAGCTACTTTTCCTGATGACCTCATTTTATAGAGAAGGAAATAATAAAATGTCAGATGGCAAAATTAGGCAGTGACAAGAGATGAGCAATTAACATTAAAGTCTTGTTCTTCAGAAGGACTTACCGTGTGGCTAACCTGAATAGGTCATCTACAGTGTCGGGGTGATTTTGGAGGCCATTCTGCTGTTCTAGGAGCTGAAAAGTGGGAATGCACAGTGCCTAGAACAAAACAGTAATTTTAAAACTAATGCTTAAACATAAATGTCAATATTTAGACTTGCCAAACATCATAGCAAATACAAGTAGAAGAAGCACGTAGGAAATGACAAGATTATGACAGGCAGAATAGAAAAAGAGAACTCTTGACCAATTCAAAGAACAAGCTTATATGTTTAAGAGAGAGAGGGCGGGGGGATCAAAAAGTCACCTATTAGGGACTGAGGAAGGAGTCAGCTCAGTAGGGAAGAGCACCTGCTATGGTAGCGTGAGGAACTGAGTTTGGATCTCCAGTGCCTGCATAAAGAGCCCGATGTGCCCGTAACGTCAATTTCTTTTGGGGGGGCGGTTAGACAGGCAGATGCTAAGAGCTTACTAGCCGGCTGGCTTTGTGGAAAAAGCTTCTGCTTCAGTGAGGGACCCTATCTCAAGGCAAAAGACAGAAAGCAGGAGAAAGACACCTGATGCTCTATTCTTGTCTCCAAATGTATATACACACACACACCTATACACTGATGTGTATATCACACACACAATACACTTAACACATACACAGAAGACATTTAAGGGACAAAAGTACATATTTCAGTTGATGCAACGAATTGATTATGTCTCATCCCCACTTAAAATCTTTTTACTTTGGAAGATAGTGTCACAGAGCTCCTGAAACTGGAGCCACAGTATACCAAGGTCGGTCTCAAACTCACAGTAATCCTATTGCTTCAGATTCCTGAATAATGAGAATATAGGCATGCACCATCATATTTGAATCTTTCATGGAATGTTTAAAAATGTATTTGTTTGTTTATGAATGTGGAGGTCAGATGACAACCCTAGGTATGGATCCTTTGTTGTTTTTCTGTTGCATGTGCCATCCAGGTCTGAGAGCTTCAATTTCCACAGGAACCATGAGATTATAGATGCTTACACCACTGTATCTGATGGGAATTACTGGCTCTGAGAATTCAAACTCATGTTTTTGAAGAAAGCACTTTACCTAGTGAGCTATCTCTTCAGCTCCTTGTTGATTTTAAGCCAGGCTGGCTTTGAACTCAAAGAGACCCGCCCGTCTCTGGAGTGATGGGATTAAAGGCGTGCACCATCACCACCCGACTCTACTCTTCATATTTTTGAGACAAGATTTGGTTATGTAGCTCAGACTGGCTTTCAACTCACAAAATGCCTATAGTCACGAAATATCATACTTGGCACGGAATTAGAAATTAAAAAAAAAATTTCTTTAAGGATTGTTTTAGGTGTAGGAGTATTTTGCCTGCATGTTATGTATGTACACCATCTGCATGCCTAGTGTATTTGGAAGTCAGAAAGTGGTATCAGATGCCCTGGAACTGGAGCAGTGGATAGCTGAAAGCCACTACATGGGTGCTGGAATCGAATTCAGGTCCTCTGCAAGAACAGCAAGCGCCCATCCCAGCATTAGGGAAGACACTTTATATATTGTACTAGATGCGGTCTAGTCATCAAACCTGGTATCTGAGTTTCATCTTCTGGGCCCACATGATGGAAGAAAATAATCAACTCCCTAGCTGTCCTCTGACTTCCACACTCTGTGGTGATATGTGTACCCCACACCCCAACAAATGCATTAAGAAATTAAAAAGCCAGGCATAGTGGTAGAGCTTGTAACCTCAGGACTTGGAAGGTAGAGGCATGCAGATCTCCGTGAATTTGAGACCAACCTGGTCTACATAGTGAGTTCCAGGACATAGTGAGACCCTGTCTAAAATAAAACAGTCACCAAGTGTCTGCCTCCCCGACATTAGAACATCAATACGCCATGGCAGTGATAGGAATAAAGACACAGCAAAGGCCCCCAGGCCCATAAAGCCTGGCATATTCTCCCCAGGGAAACACACCTGGAGCATGTCTAATAATCCCTGCCGACAGCCTTCTTCCATGCCGTACTCATCCACAAGGATACTGCCAAGGTACAGGAAACAGGAGTGCTGATGTACACGGTACACATTCACCATCTGCAAGAAGAAACTACCCAGTCAACTCATCCCTCACCCCTCAGAAAGAATCTGGAGTATCAACAATCTATCTGCAGGAAGAAAATCAGATGGGGCTTCTCTCTCTTTTTTAAAAGATTTGCTCATTTACTATGTATACAGTATTCTGCCTGCATGTATGCCTGCAAGTCATAAGAGGGCGCCAGATCTCATTATAAATGTCTGAATCACCATGCAATTGCTGGTGGATTGAACTCAGGAACTCTGGAAGAGCAGCCAGTGTTCTTAACCTCTGAGCCATCTCTCCAGCCCCTGGGGCTTTTCTCTTTAAGGCAAAGTTTTACAGTTTATTGGAAATACTTTCTGAAACACAAGGCTCAACTTAATTTTCAAGTTTTCTTTTTTTAAATCTCTCTAAAAGATTTATTTATTATTGTAACAATGTTCTGTCCTCATGTATACCTGCTGCAGGCCAGAAGAGGGAACCAGATCTCATTACAGATGGTTGTGAGCCACCATGTGGTTGCTGGGAATTGAACTCAGGACCTCTGAAGAGCAACCAGTGCTCTTAAGCTCTGAGCCATCTCTCCAGTCCACAAGTTTTCTTTTTAAAGAGTTCTTTCATGCCTTTGACTGGTTTCCTTCTGAAGACAATGTTGAAAGAACTGTCAAATACTTCAAACTACAAGCAATTTAGTACTTGGGGTAGTATTTCCAAAATATAGTCTCATTGTCTAGGATTAAAGGTCTGTTTAAAGAGTTCTTTCATGCCTTTGACTGGTTTCCTTCTGAAGACAATGTTGAAAGAACTGTCAAATACTTCAAACTACAAGCAATTTAGTACTTGGGGTAGTATTTCCAAAATATAGTCTCATTGTCTAGGATTAAAGGTCTGCACCAGCTATGCCCAACCCTCATTTTTCTTTTATTTTGGTTAAGGGACACACTGTAAAAGTGTAGTCTCGTTGGCATAGTCAATGTTTTAACTCTAATTTGGCAGTGTAGCACAAATATACCCCCAACTTCCCCAAAGTTTAAATGTGCTATATTGACACAGGAGGCTAACATAAACACAAATTACTTAATGACCTAAGGATAAGTGTTTCGTGTAGGTCTAAATGCTACTACTTCAAATCACACCATCACAATTACCAATCTTAATGATTAAAAGAAAAAAAAATTGGGACCAGGAAGGTGACTTGTGGATAAAAGCACAAGCATTAGGATCAGAGTTCAGATCCCCAGTACCCATGTAAAAGTTGGGCAGGTGGGATGGGCACTTGCAATTTGAATACTTGAGAGGCAGACAAGGCACACCTAGAGCAAACTTGCTATCTCGCTAGAATAGCCAGATCTCCAGGTTCAGGGAGAGATCTCATCCCAACAAGAAATTTAGAGTTTGATTGAGGAAGACACTCTTTGTTAACGCTGGACACACTCCCTATACACATGCATGTATACTACCCCTTGGGGGAAAAGAAGAGAATCACATTCATTTTTGACAAATAAAAGAGACCCATGTGAAAAGCAAAATATAGTCAAGATAGAACAAAATCTGGCTGGTTCAAGAAACAGCAAGTTTGACTTGTTTCATTGTCCCCAAGACATTAATTTACATGTTTACCGCTGGCACATAATGGCTGAGCACGAGCTCTTCTCTTCACAGGATCTTAGCCAGTCTAGTCAGACTGCTGCTACACAAGCTCTTTCTCTATGGACAACATACTTACTTCATGTACTTACTTATTAAAATATATTTTCCTTTGTAAATCAATCAATCAATCAAAACGGCTTCCTTTCATCAACAAAGTTTTTGCACTGAAGGTATAGTTGTATACAAAGCATGTCACTCAAGGAAAACTGACCTGTGTGACGAGTGGCTGTAGAAGGGCTGCAGACCCTTTGCCTACACAACGAACAGCGAAGCGCAGGCATCTGCAACAACGTTCTACAATCCGATTGTCAGCTCGGTGTTTATTTAGAGTCTCAGACAAAACTGGCCATATCTGAATCAAAAGTTAAAATATGAGAAAGAAAGCATATCAACTAATAGCCGAGAAAATAATCCTAAATTGGTAATATCTGATTTGTTTTAAACTAAGTAATTATTATTAGTCTTACACCATAGATTGGCCTTCAGCTACTTCAAAGCTATGACAATCTTCCGCATCAGCCTCCCAAGTTCCTGGGATTACTGCATACATTATTACACCTGTCTGACTTGGACAGGATTTTCTTTATGGTAGTATACATGGCCTGAGTCAGCCAGTATGTATACAGATGTGCACAGGTTCATATATTACACATTACTAAAACCCAATTGCTTCTTGAGAGAAACACAGTGACTTGTTAGAACAAGACCACCAACTCTATAAAAATCAGATACCCATTTTCCTAAATTTCAGAATTCCTCAGTGAGGATAAAAAAGAATTTCAGAGGAAAAAAAATCTTTAAAGGTAGCTTTAGGAAAGCAGAAAACACACAAAAGAACTGGGGATATAAATAGTTATCTGCTACACTGAAAAATTAAGGCTATCTAGTATTTATGTAACCTCCAAAGTTTGCAATGCACTTCTAGAAACCATGAGATGATTCATCAGTAACGACACTTGCCACCCAAACTTATGACGTGAATTACATCCTGGGCAACACAGAATACAGAGAGAGAACCAACTCCCGCAGGTTGTGCTCTGACCCATGTGCCCTGCGAGCGCATGTGCACAGATACAATTTATAAAATAAGAAAGAAACTAATAAGTAAAAACCCCTTATCTCTTGATCCTCATATTATTCTGAGTGGATAAAGTAGAAGGGAGTATTATACTGAGGGAAAGCTAATGTCACTTACTTTGTCACAATATTAGGCTAGGACTGATTAAGCCTCTTAGCAATCAGTTAATCTTAGAATTTCTACCTCTTACCATGCCAACAAATTAAATCTCACTATGAACATGTGAAATCAGTGTCTCCTCAACACAGATCCTCAAAGGGAAAAGAAAAAAAGCATCCATTAGTACTTACTTCCTGTATGACTTTTTGGCACGGATGAGTCTGTCCATTTTCTACAATGGGATTGGTGTGCCTGGGAAAAGATAATAGCCCCAAACAGTGAAAGATAAATTTAACTAAGAACCCAGACCTCGCTCTGCTCATAAAATCAGGTGGTAGAGTCATTTACTTACACCAACACAGTTTTCTTCTAGCCCATTTCAAGTAAAATAAACATACTTTAAGCCACCCCCCATACACAAACATCAAACTGCCACTAAGGCAGTTCTACTAGAACAAGGAAATTTCATGTAACTCTGGTTATATGGGCTGCAGGGCAGGCTCTACTACTTTTTCTATTATTTCTCCTTATAAACCTAAATGTGTTTGTTTCTAAATTAATAAAAATACATACAACCTACCCTGAGCATTAAAACAGAGAAAGTTCAGCCAGGTGTGATGATGCACACCTTTGATCCCAGCACTCGGGAGACAGAGGCAGGCGGATCTCTGAGTTCAAGGCCAGCCTGGTCTACAGAGTGAGTTCCAGGACAGCCTATAAAGAAACTGCCTTGTGGAGTCAGAGGGAAGCTATTAGCAGGCTCTCACAGCTATGAAGGGAAAAGTGTTGCATCAAGTCACTTGATAGTAATAACTAATAAGCAAAAACAATGTCTGGCATAGGCTTCTTCTATGCAACTATGCAAGTATTACTCTGATACTCTAATTGCCCATGAACCTAACAGACGTATAAGCTATACAACTCAGCCAAGATCAAGTTTTGGTCACCATTACTCAATCGTCTTTTTAATCATGGCTCCTCTTGAATGCAAAGGATTTATTTCATCCAGCATTGAAGAGACTTTATTAATTTTTGGATATATATAATATATACCAATGATCCTGAAGAGTATTGTCTCTGTAACAGCAGGAAGAAACAACAATATCACTACAGAACTTAAGAGAAAGGTCAACTGTTTACATCTTACTAAAGATCCAATGAATCAAGATACCTCGGTGGATGGGAGCTAACAATCTGTTTTGAAAGAGTTTCAGGGGCTGGAGAGATGGCTCAGCGGTTAAGAGCATTGTCTGCTCTTCCAAAGGTCCTGAGTTCAATTCCCAGCAACCACATGGTGGCTCACAACCATCTGTAAAGAAGTCTGGTGCCCTCTTCTGGCCTGCAGATATGCACACAGACAGAATATTGTATACATAATAAATAAATATTAAAAATTAAAAAAAAAAAAAAAGAAAGAGTTTCAAGGTGATTCTGGTACACACTAGCTTGAGAACCACCAAAATAATAACCAAAGTGATGGGGATGATGGTGGTGTGTGTTTGTATGTAGCAAGGTAGGGTCAGAGACAGGATCTTCTTATGTAGCCTAGGCTGGCCCAGCTTGCTGTGTAGTAAGCATGACCTTCAACTTCTTATCTTCTAGCCTCCACCTCCCTAGAACTGGGATTACAGGTTTGTACCATCACTACTGGCTTGCTTATTTCGGTGTTTCATTTGTGTTTTCATTTTAACTCTAGGAGACTAAACCTCCCTTCTTACCTAAATATTACCGCCAGGCGATCTAAGAACACAGTGGGATCTGAAGATATGCCATTGCTGGGCTCCTGAGACAACAGCTGAAGAAACAAAGACATTAACACACATGGACCTTTAGTGAATACTGCAGCAGACATTCTTACATATCAACCTTTGCTTATCTCTTTAAGAAGAGCTGAAAAAATACTCAAATGGTACAAATTTCTTATTTGCAGACTACTTGCCTCCATCTTGTGCCCTGGATTAGACTGCATATTAGTGTATTCACTATGTAATCACTTGAGAGGATAAAATATCATTTGATTTTTTTCTCTATTAATCTATGATTAAGATGTCTATAATAGAAACTGTATATTGTTATTTTATACTTAGTATATGTAACATTTGTATTTAGCTAAAAAATATTTAAGTTTATGAGTAAACCTGAGTAAATATATATGTATACTGTATATAAGCCTGGTGCCCAAGAGGGCCAGAAGAGGATGCTAAGAACTGAACCCAGGTCTTCTATAAGAACAACAAGTGCTCTTAACTTCTGAGCTATCTCTCCAGTTCTTATATGCAATTTTTAAAAAAAAAACACATTTGCCAGGCGGTTGGTGGCACACGCCTTTAATCCCAGCACTAGGGAGGCAGAGGCAGTCGGATCTCTGTGAGTTTGAGGCAAGCCTGGTCTACAAGAAACCCTGTCTCAAAAAACAAACAAAAACAAAGAAAAAACACAATTAAGTCTGGGGTGGGCAGAGTGTTGAGTGGAGGTCTAGAACAAGTAGTGAGAATCAGTTCTCTCCTTCTACCATGTGGGTCCTGGGGATCAAATTTAGATCCTCAAGCTTGGTGGCCAGCACCCTGACCCACTGAACCCTCTTCCCAGGTCAGTTTTGTTTTAAGTTTTAGACAAAGTCTTCCAATGTATATGTAGCCCAGGTTAGGTTCTGCCTCAGCACTCAACTACTGGGATTATAGGCATGTGTCACCATACCCAACTTATATTTAGTTTTATATAAGATAAAGTGTTAAGATTACTTCTTTTTTTTTTTTTTAATATTTATTTATTTATTATGTATACAATATTCTGTTTGTGTGTATGTCTGCAGGCCAGAAGAGGGCACCAGACCTCATTACAGATGGTTGTGAGCCACCATGTGGTTGCTGGGAATTGAACTCAGGACCTTTGGAAGAGCAGGCAATGCTCTTAACCGCTGAGCCATCTCTCCAGCCCCAAGATTACTTCTTTAAAGCATGTTTTAAAAGCAAACTGTCTCTCATTCTCTTTTCTAAAATTCCTTAAATACTGCTAGCAGTATAGATCATTACAGATGAACTTCAGGACCATTATGGCAAGTTCTAAAACTTCCATTAGTAAGCCTATTGTTATTGCATTAGAAATGCAACTGGAGAAGAGCTGACAGCTTTCAAGTGTTCTTCAACCAAATATGGTAGACTAGAGATTTTCTGTTCCTCAAACAGTCTTACTAAGTAGCTGAGGCTGGCCTTGAACTCATGATCCTCTTGTCTCAATCTTCCCCAACCAGAGTTGGGATTATAGGTGTGTGCCAATACTCCTGGTTTCTAGGTTTTTAGAATATGGTTGGTTTTACTTCCTGGACCTGCTTTTCACACTGGACCTTCTAAATTGTTATCACCAATATTGAGAATCTACTGTCTCCCACCCCCACAGGGTTTCTCTGTGTAGCCCTGGCTGTCCTGGAATTCCTCAGTAAACCAGGTTGGCATTGAATTCAAAGAACCACCTTTCTCTACCTCCTGAGTGCTGGGATTAAAGGCATGAACCACCATCACCCTGAGAATCTACTAATTTTTAAATAATCATGTGACACATAAACAATGTTTTGGTCAATGAGAGACCACGTGTATAAAGTCACTTTACAAGATTATAATGGACCTGAAAAACCTAACACTGATTTCACAGCTACTCAAACAGCAGTGTGCAATGTTTACTCCTGTATTTGTTTCTGATATGACCGTTACTGATGTGTTACTATACTACTATTACTGTTACTTTGGCTTTGTTTGTTTATTTGAAGAGTATGTCACTATTTAGTCTGGGATGCCTGAAATTCACTACATAGTCTCAAAGTCCTGATCTTACTGAATTGACTTCTCAAGTGCAAGGGATACCATGTCTGGCCTTACCATTATTTTAAATGTACACATACTCAGGAAAAAGAAATTGCTATGGTAGCAGCAGCCCTTATATGCCCAGTGTTTGCTATGTATCTTGACTTGCATTAAGAAGTCATTTCAAATGACTGATCTTCTGGGTTTGTAAAATAGTCAAATGTCTGATACCTACAAAATGCCTAACAATGCTTTTCTCAGACTGTTTCCTTGATGTAAATTAATGTCCAATTGCATATTTTCTAGGATGCAAATACAATTACTAATTTTAATGAATTTCAGTTAATTCTCTTGCCTTTTAAACATATAACTAACTTGTATACAGGAATTGTACTTTTTATTTCTGAATATATATAAGTATATATTTAATTCCTTATTTGGGCTCACCTTTTTCAATGCCATAACCTGAACAGAACATAGCTCACTAAGACATTCAGTAATCTTATCCAAAGGGAGTCTTGCTAGGACAAGAGCTGTTCCTGAAAAACAAAATGACTCAAATGAAGAGCATAAAGGCTGAATTGAGATAATTAAATTAGTTGATCTATATTACAAAAATAAACAGAATTCTTTTTAAAAGATCAGTATTGTTTTTAAAATTATAACTTTCTTGTGTGTTTGTTTAGAAAAATTCAGGCTGATTTTCACATTGATATAACACATCATTCATTTCTTCTTAGCAGCAAACACGAATGTGTTGTCTCTACCTCAAGTCTATAATTACACTATACATACTGCAAAGCAGTGTGAATTAATTTGATAGGCTTAAGTTTTGCTAAGAAAAGAATGTATGAACACATATTGGAAATTTCCCCTGAACAGAAAAATCACTAAGAACATTATAACTAAAAAACTTCAAAAAAAAACTTAACCACAAGTAATGGTTGAGAGGAGACTGTTACTAACCTTTTAGCAAACCCACAGCAGCTTCGGGAGACAACATGAAAGAATCAAGGGAGTGGGCAATTTCTAGGAGTCCATTAAAGTGCTGAGCCATATGATCCCGACAAACTGAACAAATGTTATGAATGGCTTTGGCTGCAGCAGAAGCCAGAGGCTTTTCACACAGGCCTTTCATCAAATAGCCCAATACAGGGTCTACGAAATAAAAGCCAAATACAGATTATACATCATACTCAAGAAAAGTATATACTTTGTTGCAACAAAGGTCGGTATATTTTTCAAAAGTAACCCATAAATGTAATATAAGTTATCCTTGGTTTAAAATAAAAATTCAGCAAGTGGTGACACACACCTTTAATCCTAGCACTTGGGAGGCAGAAGCAGGCTGATCTCTGTCAGTGTGAAGCCAGTCTGGTCTATATAATGAATTCCAGAACAGCCAGGGCTACATAGCTCATGAGATCTTGTCTCAAAAGAATCAACAAGGGGCTGGAGAGATACCTGAGTAGTTAAGAGCACTGGCTGCTCTTCCAGAGGACCTAGGTTCAATTCCCAGCACCCATGTGGCAACTCACAACTGTCTGTAGAACAGTCCAGTTCAAGGGTATTCAACAACCTCACATAGGCAAACATGGAAGCAAAATACCAATGCATATAAAATAAAAATGTTAAAAGAACCAATAAAACAAACCAACCTACAGATTTGGAGGTGATCTCACTGATGCTCTGTCAGGAAGCCCTGAGTTCCATTCACTTCAGCTTTCAATTTTTTCTTCATTGTAGTTAACTGTTCCTTCGAACCCCACAGAATCAGGCAGCAGTTTGAAAACCACTGACCGTGAGCCCAAGGGATGGCTTAGCCTTAGGCGTGTGCACTACTCTTCCCAAGACCTCAGTTCAGTTTCAAACACCTAGAGTGGCTTACAAGTGCCTGTAACTCCAGCTCCAGACTGATCTGAAGCCTCTGGCCTCCACAGACACCTGCACTCCTATGCACACATCCCCACTCTTGCATATACTTTAAAAGAACAACATTCAAATACAATCGTGTATGTGTGCATATGTATATGAATGTTCACATGTAGCTCCATAGTTGGTGTTAGTGTTCCTCTATCACTCTCTATTTATAGAGGCAGGGGCTCTTAACTGAACACACTGTTTGCTGACTGTTTTACTTGCCAGCCCGCCCTGGAGATCGCCTCTGTCTCACTAATGCTGGGATTTCTGTTGCCCATTTCACCTTTCCAGTTTCTAAGTGGACCTAGACTCCCATCAAACTTGCAGGGCAAGTGCTTTACCCACTAAACCATGTCCCAAATCCCATCGGTAGCACTTCTAAATGAAACTAATTGACTACTATGACTTGACATTAGCAAACGTAAACAACAACCCTGACTGAAAAAGTTATTTCTAGAGTTAATGCTATTCTTCTTTTCCCTTTCTTTATAAAATCAGATTTTTTTAAAGAAAGGAAAGATGATTTTTAAAGAAAGGAAATATTAAATGTGCTATATGATCATAAGATCATTTTCATGGTTACCATGAAAAAACAAACAAAACTTAAGGAATCAAAAGATACTGTGCCAAAAACCAATTAAAAGAGTTATTTTTAAGTGAGAATGTGGCTCAGTGGTAGGATGCTTAGCTAGTGTAACTGCGGCCCTGGAATTGATCCTCGGTACTATAAAATTAATTTCTAACACAACCTACCATAGTCTATCCTCTTCCCCAAAGGTCCCAAGCCTATTTAGTTAAATACTCAGAAGATGGAGAATTGGAAATGATAGCCCACACAACTCCAACATTGTAGGCGTTGACTCTCAAATAACATCAGCAGTTATTTCCAACACAGCAATTTGTTTACTGCTGATGTACAAATCTGAATGAAATACTGCAAACAGGGACTCAACTTGGCTGCTTATTGGACACGACAAACAATGACCCCACTTTTGCTTCCTGGTAGAAGGGTGCACACACACCATAGGAATTTTGAAAATATTATAGAATGGCAGGCTCCACTTGCTAAGTAGCTTGGTAATAACTGAGCACACCTATCATAGGATCCATGCACAAAAGTGAGAAAAAGAAACATGTACTTATTTTGGTGTGTGTGTGTGTGGTTTTTCAAAACAGGGTTTGTCTGTATAACAGCCTTGCCTCTCTGTAGATCAGGCTGGCCTTGAACTCAGAGCCCGGCTTGCCACTGCCTCCCAAGTGCTAAGATTAGTGTTCACCACCACACTTAGCTACTGGTTTACTTTTTGTGGCAAACACTTTAGTCATTAAAACCAGATTATTTGCAAACATTCACAAAGTTGGGAACACATAAAATTCTCAGAATGAATCGTTTTAAATATCGGGAGTTTGATTACATATTTCTCTGGACAAATTTTTTTTGTTTTGTTTTCCTTGGATCTCAGTGCATTCATTTGCAAAATAAGGGTGTTGGGATAAATGATTCCAACTTTAACTCCAACTCTCAAGATTCATTTTATTTTATTTTTTATTTTTTTTAGGTTTTTCAAGACAGGGTTCAGCATAAAGTTTTGTTTTTGTTTCGAGACAGGGTTTCTCTGTGGTTTTGGAGCCTGTCCTGGAACTAGCTCTTGTAGACCAGGCTGGCCTTAAACTCAGAGATCCACCTGCCTCTACCTCCCAAGTGCTGGGATTAAAGGCGTGCACCACCACCACCCAGCTCATTTTAATTTATTTTTATTTTGAATAATTATTAGCTTAGATTAAAAAAAAATCTACTTATGGGGCTGGAGAGATGGCTCAGTGGTTAAGAGCACTGCCTGCTCTTCTAGAAACCCTGAGTTCAATTCCCAGCACCCACATGGTGGCTCACACTCATCTGGTGTCTTCTTCTGGCCTGCAAGCCAGACAGAACACTGCATACATAATAAATAAATAAATCTTTAAAAAAAAATCTACTTAACAAATAAACCCCCTTCTTTCCTTTAGTTGGTGTTAGAAGGACAGTCTGATTAGCTAACACATGTACCAAAGACCATCAGAGACAGAAATATCTGTGCTTAATTTAAGAAAAGTATGAAGTAGTCCAGCCCTCTGGAAGTCTAACAAATGTTCAAACTAAGCAACTTATATAAATAACAATGTGCTTATTCTATGAGAAGTAAGAAAACAAGTGCAAAAGAAAAGAGACAGCTCAAGTGATGGCAGCAGAGGCAGAACCCACACTCACCCAGGAACTGTGGATTCCGGTCAACCACTTCACTCATTTCACCAACCAGCTCGATGCTGGTGTACCGCACAGCCATATGGACAGTCTCTGGGAGACGGACAACTCCCTCTAGTACCTCCACAAGTGTAGGATTGTTCTCCCTGAGGATAGAAAGCAAGTACTTATAGTTACTTCTATTGGGTACTATTCTGGCCAAGCAGCAGGCAGCAGTGAAACTTCACATTGTAAAAAGGGCATCTAAGTAAATAGTAACTATTCAAATCAAAGTGCAGAACATTTTCAAACAGGACTTTGGCTTCTTCCTTTCTTGGGGTGCTAAGAATGTGCACTGAGGCACATTCTCCAGTCCTAAACATTCCCTAATACTTCAAAAAGTGACAAAAGATAGAAATTAAAGCTAACAATATTCCAGAAGAAGTACACTGCTCCTTCTGAATGACATCAAAGTATCTAGATATAAGCCCGCAAACAAAGGAATTTGCAATTGGAAAGGCAGATGTCAGCTGATGGTGACAGTCATCTTTTAAAGAACCTAGTTCATTTAGTCCCCTATCTGCAGCACCTAGAACAGTGCCTGGCACATAGTGGGCACTCAGGAAATACTGCTTAATACTTAAGCGAATGAATGAATGACAATCATAGACCACTTCTATTAGCTGTTATCCTCCAAAGGATTTCTTATGGCTGGATACTGGAAACTCTGAAAAGGAAAGTACAGGTGAACCAGTTTACTAAGTGAAAAAATCCAAGAAAAACAGGAGCAGGGGCCATTAGGATGCCCTGATTTGGAACACGAGGGGAAATTTAAATCAATCAAACACTTTCCACAGTTCTGTGAATTTACCACCCTCATCCTCCTACTAAACTGGATTTAAAACACAGAATGGAAGATGTTCCCAGTTAGAATTTAATCCAGAAATGAAGATGTTTAAAATGAAGATATCTAGGATTATAGCATGAATATCACCTGCCAATTACTAGGCTTATCACATCCTTTAAATGGACTAAAAAAAAAAAAAAACCAAAACAAAATGAAAAACTGTAATCACATGTTGGCTTGAAGAGAGGATAAACAAGTAATTATTCTCTCACTGATGCTTTAGACTGGACACTCTACCAGTTATGGGAGACTATCTACCTATCCCTTTTCAAATCAATACCTATTGGGTATAATAGTAACCCTCAGACCATCAGAGAAGGTTCCAAAAGACACCAAATGGTTTAAGAGCAAATGCTATAGTAAGCAATTAAGAAGCAGAACTTCTATTAGAAAAAAGAAAAATAGGTCTAATCATTTCCTTAAGCATTTCTTGGGTTGAAAACACATCTACGAGCTCACAGACCAGGCCCAGAAAGGCAGCTAAGAAGAAGCACTGTGCCTTTAATAGGTGCCCCTCCATCTGTCTCGGCCGCCTTCCAATCACGGTCCTAAATAGAGCCAGAGTGTAAGTGCCGATCCCACATAGCTGGACAAAATTATTGTATCAGTGTATAAACTCAGGACACGAGCAAACTCTGCTTAAGAACCTTTCCATAAATTTAATTTTCATGCTAAGCAATTAGCAATTGTAATTCAAATTCAAATAATTTAAAAGTTTCAATGGCAATAGCAAAAGTAACAACTGTCCTTTAGATTCTCTATTCTTTTAAGTAAAATGGTACCAATGCTCTGCCTCTGAAACCCATAGATTCCCTAAAATTGAGAAAGAGAACAATGTAATTAAACAGCTTACCTAAGGTCACAAAAACAGGAGACCCAAATTAATGAATGCCAATCCCATTGTTTTTAAGGAAATACCAAACAATGTAACACTCTAACGAACTCCTTCACACTGTCACAAAGGAGCCACTGAGGGGAAAAAAAAAATCAGCATTCTATTTCTAGGATCAATAGTAAAATAAGTTTAACTCTAGGAAACATATTAAAATATGGCATCAGCAATGCAGGCCATCCTACACTAGACTAAAGCTGTAAGACTAGACAGCAGCATAGAAGTTGTAAGACTTTCCAATAATATACCATACAGAAACATGGTGTAAATCTCCTTTCTTTTGATATTTAAGAGTTCCCAGCAAAAGACTTATTAGACACTCACGGATCAACACTCTTTGCTATAGCAGCCATGATAAAGAGAACCGCTTCTGTCACCTCCCAGGGTGGGTTGCCTTCTTTCAGAGTAGAATACAACTAGAGAAGAAGAGGTGGATTATGGAGCCATTAAAAGAAAACAGAATTCCAAACACAAACAAAACAAAAAATGTTAGTTCAAAGAAATCCGGCTCTTTTTTCTAAACCCAATTATCTCTCAGAGCCACCCAAGAACAGTACTTTCATATTTGGATTCTCACTGTTTAAAAGGAACTACGATTTTAGTGCCTAAAATAAACATATTTAGAACCCCAAGAGTTTCCAAAAAACGAGAATCATGGGGGAAATGTTGAACATTAAAGGGTATCTGGTGGTCTCGACAGCACATCAATAGGTAAACGTTCTTAAAGCACACATCCTGCATGTGCATCTGCTTTATAAATTATTGGCTGCACCAACAGGAGTGCAAGGGAAAGTGCTGGAAGGAAACTAACTGCTCAGAGGCTCTATACAATAGCACATGCAAGCACTTATTGTTTTTCTTTTGTTTTTTTAAGCAGGGCTTCTTTGTGGCAGTGTTGGAACTCGCTCTGTAGACCAGGCTGGTCTCTAATTCAGAGATCCACCTGCCTCTGCTGGTGCTGGGATTAAAGGCATGTGCCACCATCATCCTGCCAAAAAAACACATCTTTTAAAAAAGGCAAACCTAGCAGAATACTTAGTGATGTTCTGGTTCTTAATTTACCAGATCATATATATGTGTGGAACATAACTTGCTATTAGGCCAAGTAAAATGTTTATAGTCAAAAATAAATAACTGAAAACAAAACAAACTAAATTTCTACAGTCACTACAAAGGAAAGCAAAACAAGAACAAAACCTCTTTCCTTTCATTTTTGCCAAAGAACGTTTTCTGGACCTGGTGCTCCACAGAACACATCTTGGTAACACTGACAGTTTATATAATTTTTAAGCTTAAATCAAAGACAAGAGCCAGTGAGAAAAGAGTTGAAATCTGAGTATAGGTCATCTGCCCACTGAATCTGCTTCCTAAAATTCTCCAAATCTATATAGTAGATTCAAAAAACAAACCTTGCGAGAAACCCTGTCTCGAAAAATCAAAAAAAAAAAAAAAAAACAAAACAAAACAAAAAAAAACCTTGCAATGAAAAGTTGTAATTTACTGAATATTTCCTGGGCAAAATTATATAAAAGTTTTATATATAAAATGGGTGTCAAGCCCTCCTCTCCTCATTTTTTTTTTTTTTTTTTGAAATTTGGTATTGCTACAACACAGCATCCAAACTGTCACATCAGGGCTCATTAAAGTATGATCCAGCAATACTAACAACACCTGAAAATATTCTAATATTAAGTGATGTGGAATGATGATAATGATTGCAACCTTACACAGTAAAATGTCACTCAATGATCGCCAGGAAACCACAGGACTATGACTCTTCTACTCGAGTCTATTTACCTCTGGGACAAAGCTGCACAAGAATCTAACTGTGGACCAAGGAAATACGACATAACTATTTAAATAGTTGTTAGGATCAAAGCAGGAAAACCTGCCCATTTTTCCCAGTGGGGTTCAAATCCCTATAAGTTTCCTAGAGACTTTATTTATTAGCTGTACACTTGGAATGGCTCTCCTTAGTAAGAATAATAGAGGAAATCATAACTGAATTTATCTATCCACTACAACCAGTTTATCGGACCCTAAATGAACATTGCTACTATATGCCAGGCAATGTGCTAGGCACCTACATTATCTACTATCTCATTTAGCCGCCAAGCTTGGGAGAGGGGGGAGATGGAACATTTACAGAAGATATAGAAGCAAGATAAACACAATCAATGCAATCAGTAAAACTGACTCAAGAATCTCCAAATGGACTTACCTGGGCAAAACATTCCATAGATCCAATCAAGAAAATCAGGTCCTTCACCAGGTCTGACACTCTCATTCGAAACTCCCCAAAGTCATCAGTCTCTTCAGGAACTCCCTCCTGAAATTCAAAACCATGTATCATCTGTTTAAAACTCACTGGTCCACCATGCGCAAAACTCAAGTCCAAATGGATCAAAGACCTAACATAAAGCCAGCAACACTGAACCTTATAGAAGAGAAAATGGGAAATACACTTTGGCACAGGAGACCAATTCCTAAATATAACCCCTAAATATAACCCCAGCAGCACAGACACTGAGAGAAACAATTCATAAATAGGACCTCTTGAAACTGAAAAGCCTCTGTAAAGCAAAGGACATGGTCAACAAGATAAAACAACAGCCGACAGAATGGGAAAAGATTTTCACTAACCCCACATCAGACCCCACATCAGAAGTCTGATCTCCAAAATATACAAAGAACTCAAGAAATTGGACAGCAAAATATCACATAATCCAACAAAATAAATGCAGTACAGACCTAAACAGAGAACTCTCAACAGAGGAATCTAAAATGGCTGAAAGACACTTAAGGAAATGTTCAACATCCTTAGTCATCAGAGAAATGCAAATCTGAGATTCCATCTTACACCTGTAAAGAATGGCCAAGATCAACAACACCAATGACAACTTATGCTGGAGAAGTTGTGGGGAAAAGGGAACACTTCTGCATTGCTGGTAGGGGTGTAAGCTGGTACAGTCCCTTTGGATGTCAGAGTGGTGATTTCTCAGAAAATTAAGAAACAACCTTCCTCAAGACCCAGCAATACCACTTTTGGGTATACATCCAAAGGATGCTCAATCATGCCACAAGAACATGTGCTTAATTATGGTCACAGCAGCTTTGTTTGTCATAGTCAGAACCTGGAAATGACCTAAATGTCCCTCGATTGAAGAATGGATAAGAAAAATGTGGTACATTTACACAATGGAGTATTACACAGCAGAAAAAAAAATAATGATAGCTTGAATTTAACAGGAAAATGGATGGAGCTAGAAAACATTATTTTGAGTGAGGTAACCCAGACACAGAAAGACAATTATCACATGTACTCACTCATAGGTGGTTTTTAAACATAAAGCAAAGAAAGCCAGCCTACAAACCACAATCCCAGAGAACTTAGACAACAATGCGGACACTAAGACAGACTTACATAGATCTAATCTACATGGGAAGTAGAAAGTATAAAAAGGCAAGATCTCCTGAGTAAATTGGGAGCATGGGGACCTCGAGGAAGGGTTGAAGGGAGGAGGAGAGAGGCAGGGAGGAGAGCAGAGAAAAATGTAGAGCTCAATAAAAATCAATTAAAAAAAATACATTAAAAAAAAACCTCACTGGCACTGTCAATTCTCTGAGTAAAACCCATAAAGATAAAGCTCTTCAGCAGTCAAATGCTAATAAGCCAAAGTGCGAAATCACAACACTATGTTACAAGAACAGAAGGTCTCCTCAGGAGCTAGGTATGCTGAGTCAACACAGTCTACTCTCCACTTTACTATGAGAAACTCTTCTGTTTATGTGTGTGACTGTGTATCTTTATTTTGTATTTTTAATTAAATATCTTGCTTGTTTACAAGAGTGACTGGAAAGAAGCTGTAAAGGGTGCCTATCTAGAGGTCAGCTCTTTATAATACTGGACAAATCTGAGACTTTCTTTTTCAAAATATTAAACAAAACAAAAAACAACCATTATCACAATAACTTCACAAAGAAAAGTTTAGACTTTAAATCGTTCTTATCCCAGGGCTGGAGAGATGGCTCAGCAGTTAAGAGCACTGACTGCTCTTCCAGAGGTCCTGAGTTCAATCCCCAGCAACCACATGGTGGCTCACAGCCATCTGTAATGAGATCTGGTGCCCTCTTTTGGCCTACAGGCAGGGTACTGCTTAAGTAAATAAATAATTAAAAAAAAAAATCCTTCCTATCCCAATGCACTTCTCCAAATAAGCGAGTTACCAACTAATTTCGAGAGGTTAAAGGCGCCTTTGAAAACTTTGGGCTATGAACATTGTAGAAGCACCCTTTAGTGGCACCAATAATTGCTCATCTAGCTCAGTCTTCTTGTTTTAGAATAAAGAAACTAAGAGAAATAATGAGGAAGTGATGGCTTTCCAGATGAAATAACGTATAAGATTCTACAGTACTATAAACTTTCAAGTGTAAAAAACATTTGCAAGGGAAATGATACCACAGAACTGGCACAGAACAGAGAATCCATTGACCATAACAGCTCATGTGTGGTTTTTCAAGCAAATCGTGGTTACAATTAATAATCAATCTTCAGTTTAGGAGAATTCAGAGATGAGCATGTCAAATTTCAATATAAGCAATTAAATGTACTCCAGGGCCTAGACTAAAGCTACCCAACAACCACCCAGAAGGTAAAAACACTGAGGCATAATATGCAAAGACATTAAGCAGTGGAAGAGCTTGCCAATGAAATATTTCATGCATTAGTATATTTTCTTCTAAGCAAATGTATGCATTTTTTGTTAAATTATCAAATGATTATAAGTGATATAAAGAAAGTGTATACACATGTGGAGGGAAATCAAAATTCAACTTCCTTACACAATTTTTTCACTTTTTTGTATTAATTCTTACCTAACCATATGTCCTACACTATTAAAAACACAGTATAAACCCAATGTGGTGGTGTAAACATGCAATTCCAGTAATCAGGAGGCTGACATAGATGAATTAAGAATTCAAAACTGGTCCCAACTACATATCAAAACACTGTCTCAAAAACACCAATAAGGCTAGGTGGGGTGGCACATGCATTTAATCTCAGTGCTTCAAAGGCAGAGGCGGGTGGACCTCAAGTTGGGGTCAGCCTGGTCTAGATAGTAAGCTCTGGGCTAGCCAGCATATACAGTGGACCCTGTCTCAAAGCAAAACAAAAAACCAAACAATCCACCAAGGAAATGGAATGTAGCTCAGCATGAGCAGTTGCTTAGAATGGGTCAAGGCCCTAGGTTTGCCCCTGGCACTACAAGAAAACAAAAAGGCCCAAACAAACAGTACAGAATTCTACATTTTGATTTCTATCACTTATCATACCGATTACTATTGCAGAAATTCTCATTTTTAATTGCTGCACAGAGGTTCAACAAGTTTCTGAACATAGTCAAACATTTTACACATATATATACACACAAGGCTTTGCACAAAAAATTAGCTTTCTTCTTCTATAACATCATTTAAAGCAAATTCCTACATACACAATTACTAGCTCAGCAAAAACAATGTGCCTATATAGGTCTAATTTTTAAGCTAAAGTGAAAAAAAACTTGAAGACTGTTAGATCAAGTCAGAACCAAAAGGTGGAGAAGATTAAGTAGAGAAGGGTACTTACATGGTCTGGTTCCAACTGGCAGTGTCGAGCCAAGGCATGAAGCAGCCTCTGAATGTATGCTTTGAATATGCTGTGAATGACTTCATCATTGGTTTTATACAAATGTTCTCCTAGTCGGTACCAAAAGTTAAAGGAAATTTCTACTACCTGTTAGGTAAGAAAGTTGATGGTTTATTTGTGCATGAAAAGAACAGAGGAAAAATTAGTTTTATCATTACTTACATAAAGCGAAGGATATACACTATTCCCTATGTATATGCAGCTAGGGAACCACCCTTTCTGTGGCACAGGTTTGCTGTTACCTCCTGAATATCTTCCCAAATTACACCTCAGTGGTTACTTAGATGACTAGCTTTACACTTTCTATTTATAACTGAGGAAACTTTTCCCAAATCCCATTAGATTCTATAGAAAACAAAGACATGCAAGTCTTGAAAAGCAGTTTTAACCAAACTCTGGACCATTAATCATGCCAACATCACATGTCTTCCAGGAGAGCTAATTGTTATTCCCTAATACAGTTGATTTTTAAACTCACTAAGTAGCTGAGAATTTCCTATTCTCCTGCTTCCACCTCCCAAGTCTGGGATTATAGGAATACACAACCATGTCCAGCCCCATTTAGTTGTTTTCATGAACATGAAAGACAGCAGAAACAGACTGGAATTTCAGGATCAGCTAACCTTCCATGCAATGCTATTTCTGAAGTGATTACCATTGCAAAGAACCATACTGCTTGGGATTTACCACAACTAGAAATCCTCAGGGGCTCTGTAGACAAGTAAACAGCACTTTTTGTGATAAAGACAAGGTGCTGAGGACACAGGAGTAAGCTTAAGCTCCTTTCCATTAAGGATTCAAAGGAGAGCTGTTCAAAACGATCCCCAACCCAAGAACACTTCTTTAATTTTTTCTTTTAATGTAAACATGACTTACAGATTATTTTTATTATGTTAACTTGTGGGGGGTGGGGAGAGAGATCAGATTCTACTGGAGCTGGAGTTCCAGATGGCTGTAACCCACCACATGTGGGTGCTTGAAACTGAACTCAGGTCTCTGGAGAAGTATGCTCTCTTAACCACTGAGACATCTCTTCAGCCCCCTTTATATTTCTTAAGAGATAAATAGGAGGTATAATTTCTTAAATAGATGAACTTTTTAACAATCTAGGAAAAAACTAAACTTCCTACTTATCTTTCTCTGAATGGGTGTCTACCTACATGTCTGCGCACACGTGAGTGCAGTGTCCAGAGGTCAGAAAGGGTCTTGGATCCCTTGGGACTGGTTCTAGTAATTTGGGTTCTTGGGAAGAGCAGCCATTTCTCTTAACCACTGAGCATCTCTCCACCCTCTAAAATCTAGGAACTTAATAAGTGGGTATAGTAATAGATGCCTATTGTCTGAACACTGAGATGGAGACAGGATCCTTCTCAGAACAGTCTGCTAGCCAGGGACACATAAACGAAAGGTCTGACTGGTGTGGGACAATTGTTTGTATCCTGTCAATTATATTTTAAATAATCGATGATTGGCCAGTAGCCAGGCAGGAAATATAGGCAGGACAACCAGCCAGTAAGTAGAGGCAGGTCAATGACAACAGGAGAATTCTGGGAAGAAGGAGGCCCAGTGGGAGGTAACAGGTTTTCTTTCTGACAGATTCTCTGAGTTGCCTACAACAGTCAACCTTAACAACAGATTAGAAAATAGAAAGAATGCAAAATGGAAACCCAAACACAATTCTTTTTTTTTTTTTGGTTTTTTTTTTTTTTTGTTGTTGTTTGTTTGGTTGGTTGGTTGGTTTTTCGAGACAGGGTTTCTCTGTAGCTTTTGAAGCCTGTTCTGGAACTAGCTCTTGTAGACCAGGCTGGCCTCAAACTCATAGAGGATCTGCCTGCTTCTGCCTCTGGAGTGCTGGGATTAAAGGCGTGTGCCACCACCGCCCGGCCCCAAACACAGTTCTTAAAAGTACCCTAAACATGGGCCATGTAAGTGTGGGCCACTGGTAAGGCACTTGGGAGGAGAGAAGTGTCTGTACTACACCGCTTTGCTTCACACTCACACCACAGCACGTGGACAGCACCCCACTCTCATATGCAAATAATGAAACTGAAAAAAAATTGTAACCATACACAACTTCCAGATCACATTAATAAGAAACAAGATTGCAAATTCTCAAGTAGAGAGTAAAAGCCTTAACACAGTACAGATACTACCTCATACTGAGGGTGGCCTGCACAAATAAGAAGCAGTTCCAAAGTTCGAAGATCTCCCAGACCTTGGCCTGGAGTACAAACAATTTTTTCCAGGAAAGTTTCACATAGTTCAGTGAAGATACGGCAGTAATTCAGAACTCTGCAGAAGCAAAATGAGAATACCAAGTCAAGAATCTGGACTTTACATACACAGATACGAGTCAAATGAACAAAAAGTCTCTTTGCCTGAGGGCCATTCAAGTGAATACTCATGATGAGCATATGATGGTAAGTCAATTCATATTCTCTATTACAAATCTTTGAATAAAAACTTCAAATTAGGGTCTGGAGCAATGGCTCAGTTGTTGAGAGCACTTGCTTGCTAGAGAGCTTGAGTTCCATTAAACTAGGCATCTCTGTGTGGGTGTTTGCATGTGTGAATGCAAGTGCTTATGGAATACAGAAGATGACATAGAGTTGGAGTTACAGGCAGGAGTGAGGGGTCAGAGATGGATGCTAAGAACCAAAGTCAGGTCCTATGGAAGAGAAGAGCCCATTCTTAGCTGCTGAGCCATCTCTACAGCTCCTAAACTATGCATTTTAAAGTTTATCCCTATTTCTTCAAGTCTTTTCTTAAGTGTAAAACAGTTGAACAACCAAGAACTGGTAGCAATCCTCTTTTCTAGATCCAAATCGCTATTCAGAGGCAGGTACATATCAACTATAGCACACACTTCACACGTGCAAAGTCACAGAATCAAAAAACAATGGATGATTATTAAAAAAAAAATTGAGGAAAAACCCCAGATTGTAGGTAACCCAGGGCTCCTACTTCAATAGTTACTCACTTGTCTAAATCTTCTCGTGCCACAGCCATATGATAAGCAGTCTCCAATGTCAGGACCCCCTGAAAAAGCTGCATGGCCAACGGCAAGTTAGTCTCCACATTTTCAATAGCATAGAGAGCTGAGCATACACAGTCTGAAGCAGCTTCATGGAGGTTAGATGAGGTTTTATCCTGCTGCTGAAAGACGGAATACAAAAGCAGAAATCAGAATCATTGTACTCCAGGGAAAACAAATACAACCTTCTGAAAGTTGTTGTTTGTTGTATGAAACAGGTGTCATGTAATCTACATTGGCCTTAAAGTCACTGTGTAGCACAAACTAGCTCCCTGTGCTAGAATTACAAAAATGCACACCAAATGTGCTTCTATGTCCGCCTGACTGAGAGTACACTATGAAGAGCCCCTGAGGTGCAGACCTTGCCAAGACAACATCTTCCTTACCCTACTTCTATGTCCGCCTGACTGAGAATACACTATGAAGAGCCCCTGAGGTGCAAACCTTGCCAAGACAACATCTTCCTTACCCTACTTCTACGTCCGCCTGACTGAGAATACACTATGAAGAGCCCCTGAGGTGTAGACCTTGCCAAGACAACATCTTCCTTACCCTACTTCTCCAGGCATGGCAAAAAAAAAAAAAAAAAAAAAAAAAAAGAGCTTCTTTATCCATCATTCAGACTTATATGAACTTTTTCATTTTATTTGCTTTTGTTTCTTTTTCTTTCTTTCTTTCTTTCTTTCTTTCTTTCTTTTGGAGAAAGGGTCTCACTGTGTAGCATTGGCTGTCTTGGAACTCACTAGATAGACCAAGCTGGCCTCAAACTCACAGAGATCCAAAGTATTGGGATGAAAGGGGCTGTACTATCGCACCAAGTTTCTTCTGTTAGCTTTCTTGGAAACAGCATTCTGTCTGTCTCAGCCAGAGTTCTGGGATCAGGTGTAAGCCATCAGCCTGGGAGTTACCAGATTATCCCCCATGTTTCTCTCTATACTATTTCTTCCATAAGGAATGCCATGTTTCTCAATGGCATTGAATGGATTTTGAAATTCATTCTCTTTTTAAGTACTGCTTAAAATGAAAAGGTTCAGCAACATCAAAAGGCCAATTACATACCAAAGTTAAGCAGAGGTTCTTAAAACTTAAGGGGTGGAGAAGCGAGTTAACACAGAAATGGCAAATTCTCCCAATTTCTCATTCACAGTAATACATGCTAGTATATGAGAACAAATCCTAAAACTACAGCTACCCAATGTATCAATCAAAAATAAAAACAATATTATTTCTTGCTAGATATCATACAATACACTTATAATTCAAACACTTTGGGAGGATGACACAAGAGGATTACTACAAATTCAAGATCAACATGGGATAGACTGAGTTCCAAGGTAGCTTTGACTATAAAGTTATAAGACCCTGGTTTAAAAAAGAATTTTTGGAGCTGCTAAAATGGTTCTGTAAATAAAGGCACTTGCCAAGCCTAGCAACCTGAGTTTGATCCCCGAGACCCACATAACGGAGACAACTCCTCTGTAAATTGTCCTCAGACATTCAAACGCATATGATAAATTTTTTTAAATGTATTTTAAAAGTTGTGGTGCTTTTAATCCTAGCACTTGGGAATGAATGGAGGCAAAAGATCAGGAGTACAAGTTCATCCTTGGCTACACAGTGAGTTCAAAGACAAACCATCTTGAAAAAACAAGAAGCCGGGCGGTGGTGGCGCACGCCTTTAATCCCAGCACTCGGGAGGCAGAGGCAGGCGGATCTCTGTGAGTTCGAGACCAGCCTGGTCTACAGAGCTAGTTCCAGGACAGGCTCCAAAAGCCACAGAGAAACCCTGTCTCGAAAAACCAAAAACAACAACAACAACAACAACAACAAAAAACAAAACAAAAAACAAGAACAAAATATTTCAGAGACATTCAAAAACCTTCAAAAGTTTATTCTCTTTGTACATTTTCTTTGGAAAGTACTTGAAGATGTTCAAAAAACAATAAACCCCGAAAAGCAAAGTAAAGGGAAATCTGAGCATCATAACTGGGGAATAAATCAAAAGAACAACTTATAAGAAAGAATGAGAACTTATCAGAGCCGACAGTGGAGCCGACATGGAAGCACAAGCTGCAATGTCAGCACCCAGTGGTGAGAGCAAAAGGATCTTGAATTTGAAGATAACCTGGGTCACACAGGCAGTTAGCTGTAAGCCAGCCTGTTACTTAGTTGAGACGGTCTCAAAACAGTAACAAAAGTACAACAAGGGAAACTGGAGGGCTCTTATTCACTGACACAGTTAAGAGCGTCTGTAAATTCAGTGAAGCTGTCACTGCTAAGTCTTTCTCTAATAACAACAATGATAATGATAACAGACACTTAGACTTTCTCTATAAAGGATAAGAGCTACTTATGCTAGGAGAGCTAACAGATGCAAATCATCCCATTGGGTTCTTACCTCTTTTTAAAATATTTTCTTTCTTTATTTTAGTTTTATGAGGCAGAGCTTCTTTATAACAGTACTGGCTAACCTGAATTCATTCTGTAGGCCAGGTTGGCCTCGAATTCAGAGATTCACCTGCCTCTGCCTCTTAAGTGCTGGGATTAAAGGCATGTGCCACCACTACCCAGCTTTTTGTCCCCCATCCCTGTTTTTTAAAGGAGCAATCCTGGAAATACTTTATTAGGAAAAGGGGACGGGACAGGTAAATGGTTCAGGGAGTAGAAGTGTGTGCCACACAAGCCTGAGAACCTGAATTCAGATCCCGCAGAACTATATAAGAGCACTCTTCTGACAAGATGGGAGTCAGACACAGGAGAATCCACAAGAACCTTTCAGGTCAGCTAGCCTAGAGAACAAGGGGAGAGATGATGCCTCAAAAACTAAATGGAAGGTAAGGATCTACACAGAGGGCTTCATCCACATGGGTTCTGTGGCATGTGCATATCTTCATACAGAAAGCACACATATACACAAAATAGATGAAATGTTTTAATTCTTTCAAAAAGAAGTATACAGGTTTGGGATGAATGTAAGAAGCTCAACAGTGCCTATGTCCAGCAGACTGAAACTCCTGCATCTATGGGTCATTTGAAGAGCAGCACATGCTCCATTACACGTCAGCCTCAGCGGGCTTCAATCTTTCCCTAAGATAGGGTGTTATTTAGCTCAGGTTTGTTTCAAATTTGCTAAGGGTGACCTTGAATTTCTCACCCTCTGGCCTTTACCTCACATACTAAGATTATAGGCACGTGCCATCAAGCTCAACGCCTTCTTATGCTATTCTTTTTTTTTTTATTTAGAAACCAAACAGAAGTGTATTTATTCAAGAAACATTTTTGCATATCTTTTTCTCAAATTCCACAAAGGTTAGACATTTTCTATTAAATTTTTTTTGTTATACATATATTTGTATATGTGTAACCTCTTAGCTGCTGAAGCTCGTTTTAGTTTCTCTGAATTCTGTATTATTTTTTTAATTTATTTATTTATTAAAGATTTCTGTCTCTTCCCTGCCACCACCTCCCATTTCCCTCCCCCTCCCCCAATCAAGTCCCCCTCCCTCGTCAACCCAAAGAGCAACAGCAAGGCCAACAAGTTCTTATGCTATTCTTAAGACTCAGATAAAATTTTTCTCTCAATACAAACATTGAGCTGTCCCAGAAGGTTGGTTATTAAAGTGACAATGGCAGTTATAGGTTTACTTACCAAAACCTCAAAAAGCAGCGCTAATAACTTATTATTAGCCATGAAGTTACTGTCCAAAACTCCCAAGTTAAACCAGCTTCCCAAACAGCGGAAAACCTTCATAAGCATCTTCTCATCAGTTCCTGCTTTTTCTACACATGTCATCTAAATAGAAAATATAGTTTAAGAAAAAAAAAATCAACCTTTATACTTTAGTCACTATTATATACTATCTATAACGACATTAGCAACAAGCAGTCACAAATGTTTTGTAAATACCATTGTTCTAAATCCTATTACCACATAATTTCCAGCAAAATACTACAATACGATTATCTTCTCTTTTTAGTGGGGAAACTGAGATACAAAGAGGTGAAAGATCCAAAACATACATTAAAAATAACAAGGTTCTTAGTTCCCACTTATGCATTAATGTACTCTCATCAATACAACTGCTTTTAAAATATACCAGTTTATTCTCCATATGCAATCGGTACCTAATTCTGGGGGACTGCTGCCCGAGCATCATGAGCTGAGTTTGGATCCCCAGTACTTACTCTAGCCAGGTATGGCGGTACACATCTGTAATCCCCTGCTGGAAAGGGAAGAAAGGAAGATTCCTAGGGCTTGCTGTCCTGATCAGTTGGTCTAACTGACTCAGTGAGACATCCTCTCTCAAAAAGAGGTGGTGAGATGGGTTAGTAGGTAAAGCTGCTTGTTCCCTAACACGATGACCCGAGTAAGTGCAATCCCTGGAACCTACATGGTGGAGGAAGAAGAACAAGTCCTGCATGCCATCCTCTCATCTCCACACGTGTGGCACTCGAGACACACACATAAAATAAATAAATGTTAGGGCGATTTCTAGAAAGATGGTTCAACAATTGAGAGCATTCACTACTGATGTAGAGGACCCAAGGTAAATCCCCAGTACCTACAAAGCAGCTCACAATCATCTGTAACTCCAGTTCTACAGCATCCAACAACTCTTTTAGCCTCAGAAGGCACCAGGTATATACAAATAAATGCATGCAAAACACCTGTAAGACTTTGTATAAAAATAAATCTTTTTAAAAAAGTCTTCTAAAGTAAGTTGTTAATTCTTTTTTTTGGGGGGGGCGGGAATCTGGAAATATAAGAAATAATTTAGTGGTAGAACACCAGCTTAGCATACACAGAGACCTCAGGTTCAATTTCCAGTACTATGAAAGAAAGACATAAAACAAGTCAGACTAAAACTGACCACTGCCTTTATCTGAACATTTTGTGCTACATTTTAGAAAGCATAATGCAACTTCTTCTAGATAAGAATGTTTCAAGAGCCGGGCGGTGGTGGCGCCCGCCTTTAATCCCAGCACTCAGGAGGCAGAGGCAGAGGCAGGCGGATCTCTGTGAGTTCGAGGCCAGCCTGGTCTACAGAGCTAGTTCCAGGACAGGCTCCAAAGCCACAGAGAAACCCTGTCTCGAAAAACCAAAAAAAAAAAAAAAAAGAATGTTTCAAGACAGCTCACAGGCAGTGGGCTAAAAACATGACAACTGCCATGAGGGACAACAAGCAAGGAGAAAGGGAAAAGGGGCTACATCCACAATTTATTACACACCAGATCTCCAGTCTGGCAGTTGGACTTCCAGGATTGTTTCCATTATCACAGAATAATAATAATTCATTGCCTGTAATCAACTGGTATCAATTTTTAAAAATTATTTCAAGCTTGTGGCAACCACAGTATACAGAGTAAAATTATGATATTTATGTTTACACGGTGATATCAACTACATAGAAAAATCCCCCAGACTCAAAGCTTCATCTGCAGTGATACATTGTCTGACTGGCCTGGAACTTCCTATGTGGATCAGGTTGGCCTGATACAGAAATCTGCCTGCCTCTGCCACTGCTCTGCAGTGCTGGAATTAGAGGTGTGTACCACCCTTCTCCATAGATGATAGTTTTGTTCTCCTCTGGTGCTGGGGATTGAGCCCAGGGACCTGCTTGCATACTGGGTAAATGCTCTAGCAACAATGTATACATCCCTAGCCATGGTGATCATTTTTATAAGTGCCCTCCAAGCTGTACTAGACTGGTTGTAAAGATGAGAAGTGAAAGTTTAGTATGTTACTATATACCACTTCATTCCCATGGAACCATATTGAAAGAGTAAGGTTTTTTTGTTTGAGAACAGTATCTTGTTATTTGGCCCAGGCTGGACTCAAACTCATTATCCTCTACTTTAGCCTCCTAGGTATTAGGATTACAGGTGTGTGCTGCCACACTTGGCAAAAACATCCATTTTAAAATCAATTTTTTTCCTCTAATATGACAAACAGGAGACAGAAAGGCTAATACAAGTATATAAATGGGCTTGCTTCTATTTTTTAATTTCTTTATGGATACTGCATTTTAGTCAAAGAAGTAACATATAACTAACAAGTAAGTGACCAGCCATTACATGTACTGAACCCTATTATGTGCTAAACATGATTTTAATAGCTTTAAATGCATTAATTCAGTCTTCACAAAATTAAAAAAGCACTATTACTCTCATATACAGATTATGAAACTGAGGCAGAAGAGTTAATTATCTTGTTTAATATGGCATAGCAAAGACTCAAATGTCACAAGTCTTGCTTCAGGACCTATGATCCAGGTTGGAGAGATGACTTTGGTCGAGTACTGGCTGTTCTTCCAGAGGACCCTGGTTGTATTCCCAGCACCCAAACAGCAGCTCACAACTATCTATAACTCCAGTTCCAGGGGATTTGAAGCCAGCCAGAGATACACAGTGAGATCTTGTCTCAAAAATACCCTTTTTAAAAGTTGGATTTTCCTAAAATAAGCTACCTTCACACAAATTACCCTGCAAAAAAAGAAAGCATGCTAAGCATGGAGGAATCAGACTGTCATCACCCTAATCCAGAGGACAACCCTAACATTACTAATAAAGTACCAATCAGGCATTATAATACTGCCTAAGATATAACTCTGAGATGGGCACGATCCAAAACTTAAAAAACCTCTTCTTAAAACCATCAAGTCTCTTAATTTATCTCTAATCAGCATGCTGAAGGAAAATAAATTAAACCCTGAAGAAAAGGATCCAAGTAACTACTTTCTCAATTATCCTAAGGATGGAATGTAAGTGGTAGCATTATTAATACAGTAGAGAATTTATTACATGCAATGGATACCCTAAGGTACTAGGCTTAATTTCTTTTGAGGAGTCCTTATTCAGTAGGGCCGACTCAGACCTTCCAATTAGAATAAGGAGATTACAAAAACAATCAGAAAAAACAAAAAACGTAATCATAAATACTAAAGACATTCTCTCCGACAAATGCTCTCTGCAGAAAGACAGAGCCAGAGGACTGTGACTGCTAGCCTAAAACAAGACAGGGTGGCAAAGTGGATACTGTTGGTGAACTCGGTTTTCAAGTATTTTAGAACCAACTGGGAGAATGTGAATGTGCTCTAAAAACATGGCATTACATAGGAAATGTTCTAAATGAAAAAGTAAAAGTAGATGACTGAAACAGGAAACTGTAACCACAGAGATACATTCACGGGACAAACATGAAAGGGTAAACAGCAGTCAGTCCACCAGTGTGCCCAGTCTCAACTACTCAGGAAGCTAACGCAGGAAAATACCCGAGTCCGTGCTCTATAAACCACATCTCACAAACCAAAAGGCTGGAGGGCTGAAGAAAATGCTCAAGCCTGAGGTTAAGAGCACTTGCTGCTCTTCCAAAGAACCAGAGTGCAGACACCAGAGCTCACACTGAGTGGCCTAGGAACTCTAGCTGCAAGAGAACTGAGCTCATCTTCTGCCTTCCACTGCATACACATGGCAGACACTGGCACAAAAACAAAGAAAAATAAAAAACTTTTAACAAAAATTGAGGGATGGGGCTGGAGACATGACTCAGAGGTTAGGAGCACTGGTTGTTCTTCCAAAGGTCAAGTGTCAGCAACCATCTTATAATGAGATCTTGTGCCCTCTTCTGGCATGCAGGCATACATGCAGGCAAAACACTGCATACACTATAAATAAATCTTTAAAAATTTGAGGGACAAGTGTGGTAGCACACAACTATAATACTGCATTTAGGAGACAGAATCAGGTAGAAGAGAAAAGGGAATCGGGGAATTAAAAGTGCAGGTCATCATCAGCTATGAGGCTATGGCTATGAAACAAGTTTCATATGAAGATATGAAACAAATTTGAAGCCAACTTAGCTTGAGACCCTTTTAAAAAATGGCTTGGTCAGGCAGTGGTGGCACACACCTTTAATCCCAGCACCCGGGAGGCAGAGGCAAGTGGATCTCTGTGAGTTCGAGGCCAGCCTGGTCTACAAGAGCTAGTGCCAGGACAGGCTCCTAAGCCACAGAGAAACCCTGTCTCAAACCCCTCCCCCCCAAAATGGCTTGCTCTATGTCTTAAAGATGCATGCTATGCTGGGTGGCGGTGGTGCAAGCCTTTAATCCCATCACTTGGGAGGCAGAAACAGATGGATCTCTGTGAGTTCAAGGCCAGCCTAGTCTACAAAGCAACTTACAGGACAGCCACAGCTACACAGAAAAACAAAAAAGACGCATGCTAGAAGACTGATGGCCTGATCCCGGGACACCCACATTAGAAGAAGAAAAGCAGTTTGGACAAACTGTTCGCTGACCTCTACACACATCCTAGGGTACACAGGTATGTGGGGTCCCCTCCCCACAATAAATACATGTAATTTTAAGAAACTAAAGCCAAAACATACAAAAGAGAATTGTGGTTGCAGTTCAGTGGTAGAACACTTCTAGTATGCATGAGGCCCTCAGTTCAACCCCCAATATCCCAAATTAAGACAGACAGACACAGGACATGATTTCCAAGTTACTTGAATAGTAATTGCTTAATTTTTTTTCTAATGTTCTAAAATACTATTTTCTTTAAAAATAAATGGTCAGAAAAATTCAAAAAATGGTCAATTAAAAAATTTAAAGAGGGGCTGGAGAGATGGCTCAGTGGTTAAGAGCATTGCCTGCTCTTCCAAAGGTCCTGAGTTCAATTCCCAGCAACCATGTGGTGGCTCACAACCATCTGTAATGAGGTCTGGTGCCCTCTTCTGACCTGCAGACATACACACAGACAGACTATTGTATACATAATAAATAAATATTTAAAAAAAATTTAAAGATATTTACTTTCCAAATAGGTTTTTAACAGCAAATTGAATATAACTGAATGTAATTATAATTACACTATTGTTCAATGGCCAAGTAAAATCTACTATTATTTCTTTATCAAAATGCTAATTTGTCTTTACTTTTTCCTAAAGTTTATATGCACTTCTTTTAGTGTGGTCCTTGGAGGCAAGAGCTTTTATATATCATAAGAATTGAGTTCAAATTCTAAATTAAAAATCAAATATCAGGGCTGGAGAGATGGCTCAGAGATTAAGAGCATTGCCTGCTTTTCCAAAGGTCCTGAGTTCAATTCCCAGCAACCACATGGTGGCTCACAACCATCTGTAATGAGGTCTGGTGCCCTCTTCTGGTCTGCAAGCATACACACAGACAGAATATTGTATACATATTAAATAAATAAAATATTTAAAAAAAAATCAAATATCAGTAAGCCCATTCACATTCACAAGAATTACCAAGAAGCTCAAGAAATACAAGTTTTAAAAGTATTTTGTATTATTAAAAAGTTTTGTATAAATGCCAAAACAGTATTAATGCCACATTTCCAAAGAAAACTGCTTCATACCATTGTGACCAGATCACAAAATAATCACTCCACGGTCTCTGTCCTTTATCAACAAATGAGTATTTCAAACTTACCAATAAAGATACCACTGTACTAGAATAGAAGGCCAAGTCTTCTATAATTTCTGTGCGCCTATTGGCTCCAATTCGCAAGGAACGACTGTGTACCTCTTCAGGTAACACTGTAAGGATCTCCAGCAAAAAGGGCAAAGAAGTTACATCATTGCTATATCTGGAAAAGAAAAGGAGGAGGATGTATCACAAGTCACTGAGAGCCAGCAAATACAGAATCACAACGCCATCCATCAAAATAGTCCACAACAATAAAAGCAGCACTCTCAACAGTAAGAGGAAAAGAGCCAGGAGGTGGTGGCAGAGGCTGGCGGATCTCTGGAAGCTTAAGGTCAGTCCTGGTCCACAGAGAGTTCCAGGACAGCCAGGGCTCTGTCACACAGAAAAACCCTGTCTCAAAAAACCTTAAAAAGAAAACAGAAAAAAAGAAGAAAATGAAAATGTAATCTTTGCTTTATTTATTTGTTTATTTTCAAGACAGAGTTTCTCTGTAGTTTTGTAGATGAATGAAATCTTTGTTTTATTGAGACAAGGTTTCATGCATTCCATGCTGGCTTCCAACTTGTTATATGGCTGTAGAAAAAAAAAAAAGGAGAAGGGAAGAAGGAAGGGAGAATAAATAAGGCAATAAAAAGGAAGGTAAGTTAGTTTTAGTTATATTTATTTTTCTGTAGCCATGCAGTGGTGGAACATGCCTTTAATCTCAGCACTCGGGAGGCAAGAGGCAGGTGGATCTCTGTGAGTTTGAAGCCAGCCTGGTCTAAAGAGCAAGTTCCAGGACACCTAGGGCTGTTGTACAGAGAAATCCTGTCTCAAAAGGAAAAATAAATGTATTTTTATTATGTGTGCAGGGGAAGGGGTATGTGCACATAAATTCAAGTGCCCACAGATCCCCCTGGAGCTGGGGTTACAAGCAGTTGTAAATTGCCTGATCCCATGATAAGAATTGAACTCAGGTCCCAGGAAGAGCAGTATGTGCTCTTAACCATCAAGCCACCTCTCCAGTTCCCAGTTTTAGTTAATTTTAAAAATTACATGCACATACACATATGATCGAATATTTTACTAACTTGGCTAAGTTCTGTATTATCATTAGCCTCCAGTTTTCAACACCAATATCTTCCTGACTTTGAGGTATGGCTAAGCAATCCTAATGCCTCAATTTCGAAGATAATCAGCAATTTCATGACTCCTATGTCATATGTGATTCATAAGTTTATACTATAGAATATTATTATTATTGCACATATTTATTTATTTAGAGCTAATGTAGCCTTGACAAGCCTGGAGCTCAATATGCAGATCGGGCTACCTTGAATTCATAGAGATTTGCCCGCCTCTGTCTCCTGATTGTTGGGATTAAAGGTGTACAACAACCATGCCCAGCCCCCAAATTTACTTTAACAAGAAAGTTAACAATATAAAATTCAGGGGCTGGTAATACTGCAGTGTATAAAAGTGTTTGTCACCAAGCCTGATGGCCTGAGTTCAATATACCCCACATGGTAGAGAGAACCAACTCCTTCAAGTTGTCCCCTGAACTTGACACAGTGATATGGCAAGCATACCTCCAATAAACAAACAAAAAACAATTTTTGAAGAGAAATAAAAATTATATCATTTGGGAATGGAGAAATAGATGGCTCCGTGTTTAAGATCACTTGCTGTTCTTCCAGAAGACCCAAATTGAATTCCCCCTCCCGACCAGGCATCTCACAATCATTTATAACTCCAGCTCCAGGAGAAGATTTACCTGGCCTCTGTGGGCTTTTGCACCCATGTACACGTAGATACACATACCTATACATAATTAATTTTTAAAAAAAATTTTTTTAAGCCTTTGGTGATGGCCCACACCTTTAATTCCAGTACTCAGGAGGAAGAGACAGGCAGATCTATGATTTTAAGGCCAGCCTGGTCTACACAGTGAGTTCCAGGATAGCCAGGACTGTTACAGAAAAATCCTGTCTCAATAAAACAAAAGAAAACTAAAGCAATTATTAATTTTATGCCCACAATTTAGAAAAATTTACTAGGACAGATTTCTCTGTGTGGATTAATGGAAATCCAAATACTATTGATAAAAATTACTTACTTTTCTACCAATGTTTGTACGCATCCCTTCCAAGAAGGCATCTGTAGGGCAAGGTCTGCTATTGCTAAAGCCAGCTGAATGGGAAGAGATAAATAAATGAATAGACCAGATACAGAAACCATCAATGTTAACAGAAAAAAAGAGACCACAATTCTTTCAAACACTATGACAGTGAAGACTAGCATCTCCTTTCCTCCTTCCCCATGAATGTCTACCTATCCAGTCATCTAGTTAGCTACAAATTGCTTGGATTTAGACATCAACCTTAAAAATTAAAGACAGACCAAAAAAAAAATCAACAAAACACACTTGATAGATAGGATACTTTTTTTAAATTGTTGTTTCTGAGACAGCATTTTCTAGCTCAGACTGGCCTCAAACCCACTAGATAGAGACTGACCTTGAACTCCTGATTCTTCTTTCTCCACCTCACAAGTGCTACAATTAGAGGTTTTCTGTTTTGTTTTGTTTTGGTTTGGTTTTGGAGACAGGGTTTCTCTGTAGCTTTGGAGCCTGTTCTGGAACTAGCTCTTGTAGATCAGGCTGGCCTAGAACTCACAGAGATCCACATGCCTCTGCCTTCCAAGTGCAGGGATTAAAGGCATGTGTGCCATTACCGCTCGACTTGCAATTACAGGTTTAAACCACTATACTCAATTTAAAAATATCAAAATATGTTTAAAAATAGATACTCAAGACATGTTTTCTCTGTGTAACAGCCCTGGCTGTTCTAGAACTCTCTTTGTAGACCAGGTTGGCCTCAAACTCAGAGATTCGCCTGCCTCTGCCTCCTGAGTGCTGGGATTATAGGTGAGTGCCACCACTGTCCAGCCAATACTTACTTTTATTTGACAATACAATACCATAGAACTTCAGAGACTGATAAATCATAGTTTGTCAAAAGATCAAAGCTACTGACAAAGTTAGACTTTGGTTCTGTCCTCAGATAATGGATTGCCATTTCCCTGCTCTTTCCATTTCTCATCTTGAAGCCTCCTCTTCAAGAGCACGTCCACATCAGGCAAACACATATATGTACTTTACTTTCTAATATATTTCCCTGGCTAAAGGGGAAAGCCAAGACGTTCATTGTTTCATTTATAAGACTTTTACTGCCAGTCCTTCCAGAAAAGAGTTTATAAATTAATAAAAATTGAAAAAAGTTACTGCATAGACTTCTAACTCAGAATAATACACATTTTATTAATCATCTGCAATTTTAACAGTAGGGGGAGCACATGCTAGAGAAAACATATTTACTTCCCCACTTTTAATATTTAATGTCTGGAGCCTAATGAACTCAAAGATTAATACAAATGATTAAACTTTTTATTCTGCTACAGTTGTGAAAATATAGCAATAAAGTTAACGTTACCTTACATGGCCTACCAATAAAAACCAAAATAAATCATGATGTATCCAAATGACCTTACAAGTTTCCTTAGTGAGTAAAGGATTTACCTGTGTTACAATGACAGGTGACAAATCTTTCAAGTTCTGAATATGAGTTAGCAATGAGTCCCTTAATGAAGCATGAGAGTCTGTGGGTAGCTCATAAAACGAAGTCTGAATCTTCATTTTCATGGTCTGGGCAGCAAAATAGCATGATTCCACATCCTGTCGGATCTGTAACAATTGATCAGAAATCTCCCAGGCATGAACCTGAAAGTAAATAAAAGATATCATAAAGCGTATTATTTTTATAAATAATTTTAAAGTTATATAACTTCTACATATATAGTTAGAATAAATATAATGGAAGAAAGAATTGACAAATTAACTTCAGTTTGCAAGGCCTATTCAACAAAAGTATTCCCTAAGACTTTGTGATTTACTCTAGTAAGGCCTAATGGCCAGATCAACTGAATCAAAAGACAGAATCTGAAAGACTAGAATAATCAATTCTATACAGTGGTTATAAAAAAAAAAGTCCCAGAAATTTCTACTAAAACTAAAACAAAAACATTATTATAAAGCTTCTAATCCTATTTTTAAGTTGAATGTTTCTTCTCTTATTTAAATGTTTTGTTCACTCTAAGATTTAAGTCTGGAAACTTTTCAATATATCTATCAATAGGAAAAACATTTCATATTGGTCTCATTGGACATACTTTTTAAAGTTTAGTACCTCATAAACAACAGGAAATACATCTTGGTCCAAGTGAAATTTTTACATCGTTTATTTTCTGATATGCTTATATATGACAGAGTTTAACAAGGTGACTAAATCGTTTTTTATAAATTAACCTGTCTATAGAAATAATAAAAAAGAATAAAATACAACAAATCTGATCACGAATAACTGGTCATAATAAGAGGGAGTCCTATTTTAAAGAGAACTCTTGAAGAAAAAGCATGCAGCACACGGTAGACATCTGACTAATGATTGACAAATTCTAATCCAGCTATGCAAGCTGTCTCTTAACAAACTGGTGATAATACAATGAGAAAAAAGGGATCAGTCTCAATTTTGAAACAGTGTCAATTTCAGAAAAAAAAAATTTTTTTTGAGACAGATACATACATCCAAAGTTATGTAGTGGAGGATCCTGATCCTCCTGCCCCTAGCTCCTGAGAGCTGAAAGTACAGGTATGCAATACCTTTCCCAGTTTAAGTAGTGCTGGAGATTGAACAGGGCCTGTGCATGCTAGGCAAGCACCCCACCAAATGAACATCTCCAGCACCATATAAATTGTTCTAATCAATTTCTTCTCTTTTTCTTTTCTTCCCCCTCTCCCTTCTCTTCTCTGCCATTTCTTCTTTCTTTTCACTTCCTGAAAGGCTGCCTACAGAGCCCAGGATAGCCTGAAACTCATTATCTTTCTCCTTCAGGCACGTGGCACAGACGCAACCCTCAAGTCCATGACTTTAATTGTTTTTGTTTTGTTTTTGGAGACGGGGTTTGTCACTTTGGGGCTAGTCCTGGAACTAGCTCTTGTAGACCAGGCTGGTCTCAGAGCTCCGCCTGCCTCTGCCTCTCAATTGCTGGTATCAAAGGCACTCGCCACCACCAACGCCCAGCAAGTCCATGGCTTCTTTGTTGCGGGCTTCTTTGTTGCGGGAGGTCCGCGTGGTCTCTCAGCGGCTATAGGCTGGAGGAGGGAGGACCTCCCGCAACACTTCTTAAACTGTGCATCATGCAAATGAACATGAAGGTCCCAAGAAAAAGACATTGGCAACAATAAAAGGTTTCTGAACACACAGTGACCAAAAAATAATTTAAAACTAAACAATTGGTGAGTCCAAGGAGTTTCAGGTGTGTTGACGAAGACAACTTTACCACAGCCTTTGTTCTGAGCAATGTGCACACACACTAAGCACACCTTCCCGCCACCCAGGGCCAATGATTGCTGCCTAAAACACCTCAGAGTTCAATTTCCAGGATCCACAATGACAGAGAACCATTCCCACAAGCTGTACTGAACTCCAAATGGTGGTATGACCCACACTCATACCCATGAACAAATATGCAAATTAATTAACTTTAAAAGCCAAGCTTCACCTAACAAAATAAGAGAGTGAGGCTTCAACATTGGTGTGTAGTCAAAAGAACCATAACTGTCCTCATATGTGCACTGACAGCAGTAGCATTGGTACTATTAGTCTAAGGCTATTAAAAGTTAACATAGGATAACAACTGAAAATGGACTATTTTAATTCTACTACCCTCTATGTCTTGTCAACCCAAAATTTAGAACAGATGTAATACAGAACTTCAAATAAAAGCCAGGAGTGTAGTTCAGTGGTGAGTGTTCAACCCCCAGCACCCTCCTGCCACCAAACAAAAGAGGGGAAAAGAAATAAAGAGATGGCCTAGGGAGACGGCACTGTCAGTAAAACGCAAGCATGAGGACTGGAGTTCTGTCCCCAGCATCAGGGTCAAAGCTGGGTGTGATGGCACACAGGGAAGCAGAGACGAAGGGATCCCTTCATAGAAGTATTCTAGCAACTAACATTTTTAAATGCATACCAGAACAATGATTTAGCACTGACTTGGCAACAGAGTACATTATCAAAAATGAATGGGGAATGCCATTCAAGCCTTCAATCCCAGCACCTGAGAGGCAGAGGCAGATTAATTAGCGCGAGTTCAAGCCAGCCTGGTTTACAGGACAGTCAGGACTGTTACACGGAGAACTCTGTCTCAAAAAACAAGCAAATGGATGGTGAAAAGAGAACTGTAACTCAATGCTATTTCTAGATTAAAGACCAAATCTATTTTCCCTCTCCTTTCATATGATCTGGCCTTGAGTAATTTGTGTACCTGACAGAACACAGCAGAAGTGATGTGGGACTTCAAAAGTTCAGAAATTCTGCCACCTTTCTCAGCATTATTCTGAGAACCAATTGCCACATGGGAATTCTCAACAACTCTCTTTGTGGGGAAACTCAGAAAGGCCCTGAGACTATACAAAGAACAAGAGGGCCTGGCTAAGTCTAACTTTCTAGGCCTTTCTACTAGTGTCTTTTTTTTTTTTTTTTCGAGACAGGGTTTCTCTTCTACTAGTGTCTTATTAGCATGTGTCTCAAAACTTCCAAACCAGCCCAATGACTAAGTGGATATCTTAGTGAGCATGATTATAAGCCAAGAACCCCTGCAACAATTCCTGTCTACCAAGTATAAGATACAATAAACCAGCTTTTGTTTTAGGGTAATGCTTCACAGTAGTAGCTAACCAGAACAGACAACCAGATATCATGTGCCTCTGGATGAACTACACGACCAAAACGACAAAGAGACCAAAATTAGTTTTTCTTTTCTATTACTATTATTATTATTATTGTTATCATTATTATTATCATCATCACCATCATCACCATCGTTGTTATTATTATTATTATTTGGTGTTTTCAAGACAAGGTTTCTCTGTAACAGTCCTAGCTGTCTAGAACTAGTTCTAAGGCCAAGCTGCCTTGAACTCAGAGATCCACCTGCCTTTGCCTCCCAGGTGCTGGGATTAAAGGCGTGCACCACCACCACCCAGCCAAAGAAATCAAATTTTTATCTCATCAAGCATGGTTCCAGCTGCCAATCTGCAAGAGAAAACAGTTGTCCTTCTACCCTTGGATTGATTCCAGGGCCAAGATCTGTAGATGCTCATGTCTTTTATTAAATGGCATAGTATATGCATACAACTACACAATCTTCCATTATATCATTTTCTTTTTAATCTTAATTTTTTGTTTGTTTCCAGAATAAGTTTTGCTATGTTGCCCATGCTGGCCTGGATTTCCTAACACTCCTAGCTTAGTCTCTTGAGTGCTTCCCATATACATTAAATTGTGGCTAAATTTAAGGAAGATAGTTCTGTACACAAAGGAACTGGGATTTTTTTTTTTTTTGCCTCTCCCCCTTCCTCCCATCCCCGGCTGTGTCCAATGCTTTGAGTCTAGCCATCTGAACTACTGTAAAACATGCAATATCTATAGATTCAATAAGCCACACAGTCCTCACTATCAAATGTGTCAGGCTTGGTGGTATGCATGATGAAGACTAATGAAGTATCATAAAATATGGCTATTGAAAAGCTTCTAAAATTTGGAGTAGGATCATAATCATGTGAAAAACAAAGCTATTCGTGTATAGTAACTTCAACTTCATTGAAGCCTGGTCTACAAGAGCTAGTTCCAGGACAGGCTCCAAAACCACAGAGAAACGCTGTCTCAAAAAAAACAAAACAAAACAAAACAAAAAAACAAAAATAAATAAACAAATAAAAACACAACAAGTAACTCCAATTAAGTTTTGTTATACAAAACTTATTCTGTAATTTTAAAACAAAAATAATTTGTTTGTAGAAAATTCCCATTCCCAACTTTGTCCATTCCATTTTAAGAAACCTTAATTTAAAAAATAAAAAAAACATATTTGCCTTCTGGAAGTTGTACATTTATCTGCGCAATAACTAAAATGTATTTCTTTTTTGTTTGCTGAGATGTATTAAATTTAAAGAAGATATTTCTAACAGTATAATTTCTGCCTTGTCTTTATTTTACTGCAACCTTGACTGCATTTTTAGAACCTTCCTCTTTTTTTTCTTTCTTTCTGGTAAAAAAAACACATGACAAAATTTTATTTTAGCTCTTTAGGATTAAATGCTTATCCTTACGTTCAGATTACAGAAATTGTTTTTTAAATATGCACAAAATCAAACATCTCTGTAAACAAAACAGTTAAAATTATTAAACATAAGGGACATATGTGGCTTTTTAAAAACACAACAAACGGGGGTGGTGGTGCACGCCTTTAATCCCAGCACTTGGGAGGCAGAGGCAGGCGGATCTCTGTGAGTTCGAGACCAGCATGGTCTACAAGAGCTAGTTCCAGGACAGGCTCCAAAACCACAGAGAAACGCTGTCTCGAAAAAAACAAAAAAAAAAAAAAATAAATAAACAAATAAAAACACAACAAGTAACTCCAATTAAGTTTTGTTATACAAACCGTTTTTCACCCATTTGCTAGGGCTCATGGACAGTTTGCTTCTATGGTATATGGTACACATCAGGCTTGATCATCAGTCCCACAAAAACACGTATGTAAAACAAGAAAAATGATATTTGGGGTTACATAAAAATCACCCAAATTTAACAAGTTCACTTAAAAAGTCATCGCCGGGCAGTGGTGGCGCACACCTTTAATTCCAGCACTCGGGAGAGGACA